AATTTACCATGGCGTGGCTTTCCTATTTCTCATACTCATAGCAACTTGATATTACATTCAATTTCAACAGGTACGTAACACCGATAATAATACGGGAACAATCAGTGCGTGAAGTTTTTTTGCACGCTAACATGACAATCGCTCTTTTTACACGTTTAGTTATTTTGTAATAGTTACAAAAGAGCCTTATCAAGTTTATAGATTTGTATCACAGGAAAAATTAAAGGTTACAGTTGAATTTTAGAGCAATAATAATAATTAAAAATTAACTAATCTACGTAGTTTAACCGAGATTTGCAGTACAAAATATGACAACGATAAGACGTTAATCTCTTATCGGTGGTTTAAGCCGTTGATATTACTGGTCTTAATATTAGATTTGTAACATGATTTTAAAGCTGCAGTGGTTTTTAATGTTTGTCTCAATGTAACCCTGTGACTCTGGCATTTGTTACTTTATCGGATGTTAACGATAATAAGTATATAACGATGTACGAGACAATGCATTTTTAAATAAGTAGTTACGTCCAATGGGAAATTACGTAAGACAATATATATTTTATAAAGACAATGGCGTGATGAAATATTTACTAAAGCTATCGATAGCTTAAATAAAAATAAACAATTGAATTTTTTTTTGAACATGACCTACTCATAGTTTATAGTTTGTCTTATACCATAATATACACTATGTAAAATAAAAATATATGTATAGGTATAAAATGAATTTCTAAGACGAATTTACAAAGTCATTTAATTGTTATTGTTGACTGTTGAATAGGTACCTAGACCTACTAATAAATAAACGTGAGTATTTATGGATAGGTATAACTAAGTTTGTATAAATAATTTAGTTCTTGGTGTATATGCAAGTGTTTATGTTGATACAAAAATCCAGATACTTAGTATCTCTATGAATAGGACTTCCAAACTATAAAAGTTAAAACTCCAGCGATATTGTCTGCTTTGCATAGTTCCACTTACAATTAGTACCTACCTACGAAAGTTTTCTTACAAACTTTTGTGTGTGTTAGCTCTTTGTTACAAAAGTCCTTGCAAATAATCAAATTCAATTAAAACCAGTCAACGGTTCAACTATGAAAATTAAGGAAAATCAAAAATCGTATGATACGAAACAGCAAACCTACGTAACATAGTTCAAAAACATTCTCTGTAAAAAATACAGTTGTAACATTCATAAATCATACATACATATATGTACTGGAATCGCATAGGTACATAGTCTCGGCCCACGGAAGAGATCGTTAAGTAGTGTTTCCGGGTTTACGCTGTGCTCTATGAATTCTCTTTGTCGGTTTAACATAACAGCCAATATTAAACAGGCATCCATTATAGTATTTATTACTGTCTTATAAATTCAAATTATAATATTTTTATATTTTGGAATTTCCTACATACTCGTATTAGATCACATTTGAAAGCTACGTAGCGTTTTTCATGATAATAATGAAATATTAAAATTAAATGTATTTTTTCCAAATATATTTTATATACGAGTAATTTCCGCTGATTATAAAATATTAATTGTCATATAAAATATTTACGATTTTCCAATAGTTGACCAGAAGAACTCTTCTTATGAATTTTCTGTATTATCTACATACATACATACATACATACATGACTTACCCAAACAAAAACAATTAAGTGAGAGTTACGTTACCGTTAATTATATTATTATGTAAATTGTAATCTAGTTACGTGTACCGTAAATGCATATTTATATTGTATGTACAAGCAGAAATGTTCATGAAACCGTACGTCCGTTAACGATAGCCAACTGAATTAATTATTTTGCATCCGTAGATTAGTTTTTAACGGCTAACTAGCTAATTGTAAGACTCACGATGTTACGCGAAAAAGAGATCGTGATCTTTGTTTTGTAAGAAATATATTATTATATGAGATATGAATTGGTGAACTCACACTGAAATTAATAATAATTATTTTTATTAAACATTATATAATAAGGCGAAGTCCGCCAACCCGCACTTGGCCAGCGTGGTGGACTATAGCCTGATCCCCCTCGTACTGAAGGGAGGCCAGTGGAACGTTAAAAAGGGCTGAATACATTATGTAATAAATAAATATTAGCAACATACAATTATTATAGGGATTATTTTTTTACATTTCATGTAGGTACTTGTTTTTATTATAACCTAATTAACTTCGGATCTGATAGATATACATAGATCTCAGTAAAGATGATGTTACTGAGTTTTATAAAATATGTATTAGAAAAATAAGAACAAAACTATCTCACAGGAACAGTACGTTTTTCCGGGATAATGTGTTATTCTGTTGTATGAGCTATATCATTGTAAAGTTTCATTAAAATAAATTTAGTAGTTTTTGTATGAGAGTAACATCCATACATCCAGACATCCCTACATCCTCATAAACATTCGCATTTATAATATTAGTAGGATTAATTACTAAGTTTTGCTTTTGGCATGTTGTAACATAATATGTATGATATTTAAAATGTTTGCTGCAAGTGTAAATGACAAACTTATCTACTTGGTAAAAATTATATGCTTCGTATGTATGTGTTTTGTAATATATTTAAATATTTTCTTTTTTGTTACAGGTAACCTTTTCTTCGAAAAGTAAGATATTCTACAATATAAAATGAACTATTCTATACACGATGTTGTAATTAACGTACCTACAATTCTACTGCGACGTTCATCAATATATTACATCCTTTATTTACGTCTTTAAACATGTGTAAAAAAAGTTATTTTGGTTTATTGACATTTGGTATTTTAAAAACTTAACAAATCAAAAATTATGCATGCTAACATTTTAATTAACCACTCATGTAGCATATTTTCAACCAAATTGTGTGTACCATATTTCCTCAAAAAATATTTTTTAAACCTTTGTGCCAGAACTAGGTGAATGCCTTCATACTATAACTTATCTTTTTAACCTATCATTAATTTATCCTAAACACATTTTTACTCTCATCTCATACTTTTGACTGATCTAACTTTGCCTGCCACGTTTCATTTCAGCCCGGTACAGCACTTACTAATGCATGCTGAATTCGTGTCGCACTAACACCTTGCTATGGCCAATCCTGCAGATAAACGATTCCAACAGCTGGTAAGTTAAGCATTAGTAACTGTTTGTTTTTCAGTACTAAATATGAACTACTTCAGTGTTTATTTTTATTCGACTCTTCGATTGTTTTTTACTTTTTAAATATGATATGTATAAGAAAAAAATAATTTACAACAAAGTATAACAACTAAAATTAATAAACTTTGTTCGTACGTTCACAATAATTCAAGTAGTAATCATCTTGATTGGCACATAAGAATATCAGCGGTGTGAAACCCGGTATTTGAAACCGCTTCACCTGATTTCCCAAGCGAGCGCGCCACCACTGAATTTTAGTGATTCATTATACACATTACACATTTTTTGTCGTAGAATATAGATTTGAGTCACAAATGAAGAACAATAAATTATTCTAATCTTGGAACTTTACTAGAGTTCATCCTTTTAGTTTGACACAAGAGTTATCTCGTCAACGATAATTTATTCAACAAAGTTTTAAATAAGACATTTATAATGCTACGTTAACTTACAGTTAATCAGTATAGCCACATACTTTTCGTAGTCTAGCCATTCTGTTTACGAACTCACGACAAAAAATCCAAACAATTATTAAATTTGATTATTTATTATAAACTAGCGACTCACCCTTGCTTCGCTCAGGTTCGTCTCTAGGTACGTTTTGACGCTTATTGTTAGTATAAAATAGTTTTTTTGTAATTCGTGCATTTTTCGGTTTTCCGATGTTTTAATAGTTATTCTGCTATTCGGGGCGAAGACAAATCTAACAAAACAAAAATCATAAAAATCGGTCCAGCATTTCTCGAGTTATAAATGTTGTGACAAACCCGATCTTTTTTTAATATAAGTATTATAATATATATGTAGGTATTTATTATGCATAAATATTACAAAGTAGATGTAAAAATATTCTATTACGGGCGTGCTACATGATGTTACTGTGTCCATGACCAGCAAGGTGAGCCTTTGCATAGTCGACAGTCGACACTTGCTCATAGCAGGTAAACAGTGAACTTTGACGTCATACACATAACATGAATAATATGGAGAATGTGTATTATGTACAGTTGATATTTTCCTTACTGAGTTATGGTTTTTTTTATATAAAATTATATTTTTTTAGTATCTTTTAAAATATTGCAATACCATTATTCTTTGAAAAATCAGATATGCATTATGCACGTCTAATAGAAGTAAAAACATAAATAATCGAAAATAAACATTTATAACAGTAATAGCTTGCTTACATTTATAAATCACGTGGCAAGTGAATCACTGTGAAAACCTACTAATGCAAGAACGCAAAAGGAGTGTTCTCAGTAGAGCATCAGCGCATTAATTACTTTGATGCTAATTAAAAAAGATATAAGTACATGTAGTTATGTTATGCTTAAGTTTTAAAAATATTATAGTCACATATTTTTGCATAATCTATGTACTATATATAAGTATCTATTAATGAGCTATGTTTGATATTTTTTCACTTTTTCCATTCATTCTTCTCTCTTTCTCTTTTTTAATCTGTATTTGCCTTAAGAAATTCTTTATTTCTTTGTACAATTTCAACGGTTCTATTTTTATTTGTAAGGGCCACGGACAGTGGTTCTGTTTACAAACATACTCCCATCTTGTTACTAATAATACTGAGACGCTCAACGCGGCGAAAACACGTGTGTTTTATTTTTGTTTTCACTCCAACACACTTTGATTCATGTAAGACGTATTTACTCTTTTTCAAGTTTACGACTGTCTTGTCACTACAGATGGTTATTTATGCACGTACTAAAGTTAAAATAAAAATAAATTAGATATTAATATTATTAGTGAGTACTAACATTCATTTAAAATTTGAAGATAAGAAGAGAGTAAGATGTTAATGTTATTATTTCCAGACATCAGCCATCCAAAAAGCCATAAATGCTGTTGAAACCCCAGTCAAAGAGAAACATGTACGAAGTGCGATCATCGGGACTTTCCATGAACAAAGCGCGGCAACATACTGGGTAATCACTAATCACATACAAGAAAATATCTATAAATAAATGAAACTATGAAAATTTATATAATTTTTTATTGGTATTTATTTTCTTCTTATAACGGTTTTTATTAACGCCTGTAACTTTATATATGAATCTTTAAAGTCGAATTTAATCAATTTCTAAATTCGTCGTATTAATTGAAACTTTGCAAATGTATAATTCTATGAATATATAATAATTTGGTCCCATTGAGCAGATCTGATGTACATATAATGGAACTAGGAAGTGGATAATAGAACACTTCAATGGCTTCTAGTAAACCCCTCGTGTTTGGGCTCATTTGGTTTGTTTTGATATTTCCGATAGATTAAAGTTCGTCAAAAGAGTTTGTTCTTAATTTTTTTGATTATAATTATTTTTTTGTAATTTTTGTTAAAACTAAAATGACCTATCAGATGGTAGCCATCCGGCAGCCGCTCCAGGATGACAGGATTGTGTCGTGGAAGTTTTGCCACGTGACGCACAAGCTGCTCCGCGAGGGCCACCCCGCCTGCCTCGACGACTCGCAGCGGCATATAGGCATGATCGAAAGTCTTGGCAAGCTATGGGTAAGAGAGTTAATCGGAATACTGTTAAAAATGCGAAAGTTTGTATGTGTGTGTGTGTGTGTGTGTGTTACTATATATGTTTTTTACTTCTTTACGCTGGCTGGACGGAGTCGGGTGATATTTAGTATGTAGAGATACTACTATGGTCGTTGCAGAAATAAAGGATTAGTTAAATTTATTCGATTTAAATTAGAAATAAAAATCGAGCATATATAATTGTTCGCCTTTTTACGTACTACTTTCCGTTTTTTTTTTCAAAATCTGTCAAATACGGTATTAACATACTCGTTAAAGGTTATAAAAAAGGGTCTTAATTAAAAATAGAAAGTATAAAAAGGATGTGTGTTTATAAATGTGCGTGCCTACACTATGAAATGAAGTAACGCATTGACTAATCTTAGGCATCTATGGATACACCCGAGCACAGTGAGCGTATGTCGTTAGTATCTTTATAATTAAAGTGAAAGTAGCATTGTCTTAGGCTATCTCCTGCATTTTATCTCGAAGCCAATTTAAATTCTATTATACACTTTTTCCTTCACAATAATGTAACTAGGGAAAATATAAGGTGATCAGTGATCTAGTGCGAACCTGTAGTGCATACAAAGAAGCCACACAAATATCGTTAACTTTATCTCAATTAGCTTACAATTGAGTTGTCAAATCTAATTTTCTTTGCCTCAGGTACATCTACGCGAAGGCTACGGACGGCTAATCCACTTATACTGCAACTTATTGGTAACAAAGTTAAAGTTTCACGCGCGAAATCCTCGAATACCTGGTAATATGCAGCTAACTGTTGACGAATTGGACGAGATCGCTGAGAACGACGTCAACAACTAGTGAGTTCTTAGTATTGTTGATATGTCATGTTTTGTGATGCTTTGTGATTTCTTGACATTTAAAAATATCAAATATTTGTTTGGCAGTTTTCAGCTATGCGTGGAATTCTTCGATTATATGGATGATATACTTAACTTACAAGCTGCAGGTAATAATTTATTTTGTATTGAAATAAAAATAATATTGTCTCTATTTAAATAATATATTTGAACGGTTTAGATGATTTATAAGTTATATTTTTGACCTTTTAATAAATAATTCACTTTAACTATAGTTTAAATAGATATATCGAAAAAGGGGTCGCAGTTATATAATCATATTTCTACTGAGCGTAAGTAAAATCAGACTCGCTCGTACTTTACTTAGTTACTACACAGTACACATATGAATATTCCAGTAACTAACAATTTACTAGTATTCTCACGGCCCATATAATGTCTGTATGTAAAAAATAACGTCAATTTGTTACATCAAAGACAGAGAAACTAATAATAGATGAGATAATCATGAGATATCCACGCATTTATAATTGACCGACTTCAAAAAAAAACATTAAATACATAACTCGAGTGCATGTTTTTTTTTGTGATATCTTCTAAATATAGGTACCTATTTTTAAAATGATCGTAAAATCGGTAGCTCATTCAAAAACTAAAATTAATTTGTTAAAAAGGAAATTTTATATTAATATATATATAAGTTATGCCTTATATAAAAAGAGAAAATCGACCTCAAAAATTAAAATAAGTTTTAAATTAATTTTAAAGTCATATAAAAGTAAAAAAAGCAAATAGTCATCGATCAAAAAAGTACTAGATATACAATCCCATGCAAAAGTTCTCTTAAAACTGTCACCAATTGTGTTTAGGTGATTATTTTAGTACTAATAAATAAGGTAACTACACGAGAGACATCTGAACGGTATGGAATGCAACGACGGATTAATTATGACTTGCATTGTAATCGCGCCCTAAGCGTCTCATCTGCAACTAATCATGTTGAAGAGCAAAATCTCAGTGCTTGGTTCATTCGGCGAACACAGTATAGTGCTTTTTTGATCGATGCAAATAGTGTAATGGCGTAATAAAGTGTCGAACGCCCGGTCCGCCAGTGTTCGACAGCCTAGGCAACGCGCGCGCCAACTCGATGACGGCGAGCGGGCAGTGCCGGCTGGCGGCGCTCATCCCGTGCGCGCAGGACTCCTCGCACATATACGACTGCAACGTGCGCCTGCTGTTCCGCCTGCACGCCGCGCTGCCCGCCGACGTGCTCGCCGGCCACAGGGAGAGGTGATACTACTTTATGTATATTCTTTAAAAAATAATACAGACATTGCTTATTAAATGACATAGGCAAAGGTGGAATTGTTCCTAAAAGAGATTTCATCCAGTTAACCCATGGACGTAAGAAGATAGTGTTAAGTAGCGGGCCTATTAGGTGCCAGAAGATGAATGAAAGAGTAAAAAAATAATATACTATTACATAAACAACATGGAGATGTAAAGTGACTTAATCATATCCATATATTTAGTACTAATTCATAATATCCACCTGACTGGCTTAGGCCACGGCAGCCAATTACATTCAGACCTTTCATGGTTGCAGGAGCACACATGGCTAGTCTCAGTGAGATTCAGATGAGTTCAGACAAACGCAAGTGCACTCTTTAATCTCATATTCCGGTGGGACAATAATTCAATATCCCGTAATAATCACGTTAAAAGATAAGACCGTCACATACTCTCCGAAGTACAGGAATCACCGTTACTGAGTTCTAATTTCCTTACAGAAAAACTCAATAATGATGTCTCAGAACTTCCGCGTAAGCGTACATGCTAGCCAATAGACTACTGAGGATCACTAGACTATGTATAAACATGTACATAATATATAATTATGTAATACTTTTACATTATTTCAAAGTACCTACAATTTTTAGAATTATTAGTTTCTCCAATTTTGTAGATGCGCGTAAAAGTTAGCGATTATATTGTCATAATATAGTAACTTCTTAGTCAAGCATTAAGAAGTTACTATATTCACCCTCAAAATCGCACGGCAATGTGCCAAGTTTTAAAACATGGTATACTAACTGTGAAGGTCTTTCTATTGGTATATGCATATAGGCAGATCTTAAAAACTTAAGTATCTTATGGTTGCTAATGTTCTGCACTCTAATATTTAAGATTGGTTTATTGAACATGTTTTATGAATTCTTAGAAATATATTGTTACTTGTAATTTATACTTCAATCATAGGACATAAAAAGTAGATGGGCGTAGAGATTAGTTTACTTAATTTCTCTATATGACGCCAGCTGAAAGTTCGATATCCAATAGATTTCACCTATATCTTAACTTCGGTCGCTTTTGCATGAGAATGATGTAATACAGATTGGAAGGAGTGGGGGTAATTGAAGACACTCAAGGAAGCCTTTCAATGAAAGTATTAGCAATATTCATTCTTAATTTAATAGGCATTAAATCTGTGTTGCACCAATAAATGATTATCTTCTATACTATAATAAAACTGTAGAGATCGCTAGTCTGTACATAGAAAAAAAAAGCTAAAAACCGAGTCAGGCCGAGTCAGGGGGATGTATGAAAACAAATAGAACAAATCCAGATTTTTTTCAAATTTTTTGTTTCTCTGTCTGTCTGTTTGTCTGTTTGTACGGACTAATCTCGGAAATTTTGCAAGGTGGTACCTTATCTTCTTCTGCCTGGCATTATTCATCCCGGCGATTGCCGGGGTCTGCCTTCCTGCTAAGTCTCCTCCACTTTGCACGGTCTTTAATATCATCCTGTGTAAGTCCATTGGCTCTTCACGACATCCAGCCATCGCTTTCTTGGGCGCCCGGGAGGTCTTGTTCCAGGGACAGACATATCAAGGCACTTCCTTCCAACATAGTCCTCAGACCGACTTGCGATATGGCCATACCACCTCAGACGACCCTTTTGGAGCTTATCCGCTACGTCACGGACCCCGAGACTTCCCCGGATGAACGTGTTGCGTATGCGGTCAGCCCGCGTTACGCCACACATCCACCTCAGCATCTTCATCTCCGTGACGTGAAGCTCCTGAGTGTGCCGAGATAGCACTGGCCAGCACTCGCCCCCGTATAAAAGGACCGGTCGGATGATGCTCTTGTATATCTGTCCCTTGAGCTTGGGCGGTATTCTGCGATCACAGACCACACCTGTGACCTCTCGCCATTTGGCCCAAGCAGCGCTTATACGCGCTTGAACGTCGTGGTCAATGCTACCGGACTCGTGCAGGGCGGATCCAAGGTACCTGAACTTCTCCGACTTAACGGCTGGTTCAAGCTCTATTTGGATGGTGCTAGAGTCCGGACTCCCGCAAGCCATGTACTCGGTTTTTGCCACTATTAGTTTGAGACCGCCGTTCTCAAGCGTACCCTTACATAGGTTGACCCTACGCTCCAGCTCCAGACGGTTCTCATCAACGAGCGCTATGTCATCTGCATACATCATCAGCCATGGAGGCTAGTCCTGGATGCAGGCAGAGACAACATCTAGTACTACGTTGAATAAGAACGGGCTGAGAGCCGAGCGTTGGTGGACCCCTACAGTGATCGGAAAGGGCTCGGTATCGCCAACAGCGGTTCTAACCACGGAAGCGGAATTGTGGTACATGTCTCTGATATTGTCAATATACATTTCGGGCACGCCCTTGAATCGCAATGCCCACCAGATGCATTGACGAGGCACACAGTCAAAGGCCTTCTGCAAGTCTAAAAATGCCAAATGCAGAGCTCTCCTTTTCTCCCTGTAAGCCTCGACCAAAGGTCTAAGGGCAAAAATGGCGTCCATGGTGCTCGATCCCGGCTGGAACCCATATTGACACTCAGAGACAGCACACTCTCGGCGAAGCCTTAGATCGATCACGCGTTCGAAGAGCTTCATGGTGTGACAGATTTTGATCCCTCTATAACTACCGCAATCCTGAACACTGGTGGTACCTTATATCGCCGGTCAACATCTTAGATACATTTCATCCCGGAAAATGAAAGAGTTCCCGTGGGATAGTTAAAAAACTATAATATCTTATACAGCTTAGTACACAACAACTTATTCACCTAATTTAGTAAAATTTGGCATGCTGATACCTTATATTGCCGGTCAAACAACAGGTTACTTTTTATCTCGGAAAAATTAATGGTTCCCGTGAGATAGATCTGTTTGTGGCGAACCCGAGCGAAGCGAGGGTGAGCCGCTTGTTAAAGAAAATAAAATAAAACCTTTAAGTACATATATAACGCGGGGAATCATTTAAGTAAACTAGTTTATTTTTACGTAAATATTACGTTCTCGAAATTTGGTGACTAGTTTTGTCTGTAATTATGATATACATTAAGTAAAAGATTAAGATTGTATCATTATTTTCGAAATTGAATAGTCTATATTCAATACATCTTTTTTTGACTATAATTACTTATATAATTGTTTCATTTTTGGATACAGATTTCGACAGCAGTTCAAGAAGTTGAGTTCATTCTACAAACACGCGAGCAGTTTGCAATATTATAGAAACTTGCTTACACTTCCCGTGTTGCCTTCGAATCCGCCTAACTTCCTCTTACAGGTAATATCGTATCAACGTTAATTGTATATGTACACTTTATTGCTTTTTTATCAAAAGAATTAGGCTAAAGCTAGCTTCAAATAAAGGAATCTTGTCTCATCTGGAATGGAATGTCAATCTGGAATCTTTAAATGAGGAAAATTTTTATTTTGTTGAATCTTTAACATAATTACATACACCAAGAAAACCTAACATTTATTAAAAATATATATATTTCGTTTTAAATGTGGTAAAACTATTGAAAAAATCTTAAGTATTAAAAATATACATACAATCTGTATTACACAGATAAATTTATTTTAACTTAAATTGAGTAAATATACTAAAATCATAATGCTATTTTATTTTATAATATTTCTATTATTTTTAATTTTTCTTAATGAACATAAGATAAAAATAGTGTAATATTACCTATAGAGCGACTTCGGCACGTACGTGACGCCCGTCGTGTCTATCCCCGAGCTGCCGCCCGACGAGGTGGACGCCGTGGGCTCGCTCATTGACACCTCGGATACTATTAGCCAGGTAATTATTTACTCAATCCTGACCCGTTATCGGTCATGGCCACCATAGTATAAACATCTATAAATTATGTCGTCCAATGATTTTAAAAGAAATGCTGTCAAATGCAAGGGTTGTCAAATACTATTTTTTATAGCGTACCGTTTCGAAGTTATAATTCGGCACTGTACTTCTATCTAGTGGCAAGTTATACCTGTCATACAAAAGTAAGTATGACACCTGATCGCTGATGCGCCTGATCGCGTCTCACTACACACGCTCTGCTACATTATAGTCTCACTGAGAGTGGACTAGCGAGCAAATATTATAGTGCACAAGTATGCACGCAAATGGAAAGAGCCAATATGCGAAAAATAAACATGCTCCTGGAGGGAATGTTATGACACTCCTCCTGTTGATATTGAATTGAAATGAAAATTAGGCTACAAGTACTTCATGTTTACACCAACGACTCACCCTCGCGTCGCTAAAGTTTGTCCCTAGATTGATTCCCCTACAAACTTTTATCCCCATTTTCACCCCCTTAAAGGATGATTTCCGGAATAAAAGATATCCTATGTTCTTCCCAGGGTCTCAAACTATCTTCTTACCAAATTTCATCTTATCGGCCCAGTAGTTTTTGAGTTTATTCGTTACAAACATACAAATATTAAAAAAATCCTCTTTATAATAGTAACTATAATAGAAGTGTAGATTAGTATACTGTATTGAGAATATATTGACAGAGCAATGCAGCAAATCTTTTGACCCCATTTAGTTTTTTTGTAACAAAAGAAGCCAATAAAACCATATCTATTTTTTTTAAGTAGAGACTTTAACGAAGGTTATTATGATTTCTGACACTAAACATTTGTTTAACATTAGACACTCATTATTGGAACAAAAATAGTTATAATTAAAAGTGAAAGTTTCAGAATCAGATGAGTTGTTTCAGAGATTGTCCCCTACATACAAACTTTCCCTCTTTATAATATTAATATATGTAAATAATATTATTAACGAATATTTATATACGTATATTTTATTCGTGCACAGGCAACGACGCCAGACCACTTGGACCTGGTGGACACGCGCGCGTCCCCCTCGCCCGCGCCCGACCCCATCATCGAGAGGGACCGCCTCATCGACCATCTGCAGCACGAGCTCAAGCGGATGAGGTCGTTTGTTGTTTGTATTTTTGTACTTAAATATTATTAAATAGCAACCGAAATAATAGATTTTTTTATATAGGTTGGAAGTATCGCAAATAATACAAGAAAGGAATGCAATGATCGGATCCATGCGAGAAAATTACACGCGGATGGAATCGCAGTTGCACGCCACGAAAGTAAGTCAATGCAAATTAAATAAAGCTATATTTAATTAGACCTATATAACCACTTTTCATTCATCAATTTAACTTAAAGAGAGTCAGAGAAGTCAGTCCGTGAGGAAGCTGCCACCGGTTCGGAAAGCAGTTCTGCTCAGAAGAACCGGCGAGAAACTCAATAGTTGCTCTTTTAAATTTCGAAGTCATATACATTTTATTTATATTATTAACAAAAATAGATTTTATATATATGTTTAATATGGGTGGATAAACAAGTAGTAATAATTATCTTCCCCTTAGAGATAAGTATTTTATTAGAACTGAAAAGTTCTTTAAAAACTTAAAGAAAACTTTTTTGTCTGTACCTTGTATTTGCCTTTTGTTTGACGTTTTAATATTGCGATATCCTACTAATATATTATAAATAAAGTGAAAGTGAAATGTAAAAGTTTATGAGGATGCATGGACGGACGGATGGATGGATGTATGTGTGTTACTCTTTCACGTCAGAACGGCTGAACGGATCTGGATTAAATTTGGCATAAAGATAGATTATCGTCTGGAATAGCACATATCCCGGAAATATGTACGGTTCCCGTGGTATAGATTAATTTTTGTCTAATGACGAACCCGAGGCGAGGGTGAACCGTTAGTTCTCAATAATGATATGTAATCAGAATCTCCATTTAAATGAAAAAGATAGAGTACAACCAACAAATAGAACAAAAAAGTTAGAAAGGCACACAGACTTAGTGTATAAATAAAATATTATTTTAGGCGTCAATCACTGTGTTCTGTATGCTTCTTCTATCTTATTATTATAAGCCGGAAGTGGAAAGAGTACTCTATTTGTGATGGTTTTAATTTAAATGATTAATCATTTAAATTAATTTTGTTTCCAGAATGAACTCCAAGAAGAAAAACAAAAAACAGATATCTTGTCCGCAGAAACACCCGAGATTAAAAGTAAGATGATAAAGATAGCATCATATAATATTAAAAATGCAATACGTAATTATTAATAATGATTTTTCAATTTTCTAGAAAAGCTTGGCCAGACTGAGGAGAGGGCTAAAGTGTTAGATGAAAAATTCCAAAAGTTAAAAGGAGCGTATACACAACTACGTGAAGAGCATATAAATTTAATCAGACAGGTTAGAATAATAATAATAATGTCATGTCGATCGATTTCGCACTCTCTCGTTCCATTTTTTTTGTTTCGTCCAGTTAGTGTTATTATAATAACTGTATCTTGGTGATAATTTTGTCTTAATTATAGTGTTTTCTATTATATTAGTTTGTATTTGTATGCTACACAAAATATGTAACTAACTGTACCTAATGGTATTTCTAGGGTTCCGTGGCCGTAACGGAATCCTTTCAACCGTGTTATACCTATTTTACTGGAAAATGCTTGGTTTATTCGAAAATTAGGCGCGTTTCACGCGACCTGCTATGTAGATAATTCACGTTCTTTCAAAATATTTTTATTAAAATTATTTTGTACGCAAGTCAGACTGGCGCTTCCTTTAAATATTTTCTTTTAAATAACGATTTATTTAAAAAAATAACAATCCTAACGTCCTAATGCTGAGCAAAGGTTTTCCCTCAATACGAGAAGGATAAGGCCATAGTTTATCACGCTAGCCATGTGCGAGTTTTCGTGTGCATCCCACTTTAAAAGATATTTTTGATAATTAATTTGTATTTTAAAGAAAAAACAAGGAAAATTTCTAACAATTTTCTTCAAAATTGATATATTTTAGTTGTATAGATATAATAAGTTTTGTTACAGAAAGCAGAGGTGGATAAGCTATCGGCTAAGTTGCGCGCGGCCGCCGCCCAGCACGAGAGCGCCAAGACTATGCTGCAACAACAGTTGAATGATAGAATGAAGTAGGTTGATATTCATTATAGATTAACTATAATTGTTTGTGTCTTTTTTATATTTATTTGAATTAAAAAAATAAAAGTAATTTGCAATGTGAAAATATTCTCCAAATTATGGGATTGTAATATGAACTTTGCAGGTTTCTATCTCGCAACAAGCTTATAATTTGTGCAATGTAATAAATTTATGGGTTTAATTTAAAATTTATTTTCTTATTTAGAGCATTTAAATAAAAGCTTGTTTTTTAAAAAAAGAACCATTATCTTTAGTTTTAGTTATTTTTGTCAGCAAACCTTTTCATTTGATATTCATATCATAGGGATGCATAAAAAAAATAGTCGGTCATCTTTGAGACTCGTCCATATTGAATTTAGGATGACGTCACTTAGCTAACCATGCATTGTCATCGAAACTAAACATGTATACGAAATTTCAGCTCACTACTTTAAAATTCAGTTGCAAAATTTCACCCGAACAAACAAACATTGCAAGTAAATAAGAGCTTGTAAAAACATAGTGACGTTATTGGAAAAATATTAAGTTTTATTCATGTACGTATAAAAGGCAATGGTAACCCAGTGGTAACGCGCTCGCTTGGGAAACCGAGTGATGCGGGTTTAAATACCGGGTCTCGCACCTCTGATATTTTCATGTGCGAATCATTTCTAGCATGATTACCACTTGCCTTACGGTGAAGGAAAACATCGTGAGGAAACCTGCATGTCTGAGGGAACTTAGCAAGTTTTCGAAAGATATGTGAAGTCCGCCAACCCGCACTAGGCCAGCGTGGTGGACTATGGCCTGGTTCCCCTCGTATTGAAGGGAGGCCCGTGCCCAGCTGTGGGTGTGTTAAAAAGGGCTGAAAAAACAAATACGTATAAAAGTGCGTATATAAAGGTTATTAATTAAACGTATTACTTCTTTTTTATACATATAGAGATGTAGAATTGCTCCAGCAAAGCGCATCGTCGAGCGAAGAAATTGAAGCTTACAAATCAGAACTAACAAATCTTCGCAGTGAACTCGAACAGTCTAGACAAAAGGAGGTCGAACTACAGGCTCTCAGAGCTTCTATGGAAGCCCTAGAGATAGAACATAAAACTGCAACAACCGAACAACAAGAAAAACTCACAGTCATGGCTAATGATTTGAAAGAGGCGACAGAAAGCATTGAGAAACTTAAACAAGAGGTGAGCGAGAAGAATACAGAATTAAGTAAAGCCAAAGATGAATTAACTGTTCTTAGACAAAAGAGCGGGGATGAATACAAAAAAGCCTTGGAAGAAAAGGATGAAGCGTTAAAAGAACTGTCTGAACTTAAGCAGCGATACCAACAGGAGAAAGAGGTCAGTAACCTTTTTTTTAATTTAATAATGCATGATACAATGACTAATTGCATGTTTTCAAATTAGTTTATAGTATTAGTAACTTTTTGGTATAAAAATGATCGGTACAAACTTATGTGCTAATTTTTCTTAGGTAGCTAATATTTAGGTGATAATCATTTTTTTTTTATTAATTAGGTTCACTTATCTGGATTATATTAGTATATTATATGCATGGCATTTGTATTGATAAAAGGTTTATTTCTATTAGGAGCAAATTCATTACACTAACAATTTACAAGCTGATTTAGAAAGATTTCAAATGAAATTTACTGAAGCACAAGGAAAATTCGGACGTCAATGTAGTAAATTGGATGAAGAATTATCTTTGAAAAGTCAAGAATTTGAAAGTATCTTGAGTAAAAAAGATATTGAATTAAAAGAAGCATTAGAGAAGCTCGCGCATTTGCAAGATAAGATTGAAAATATAAAAAACAACAATGAAAAAATTATTAATGATAAAACAAAAGAAGTTGAAGATTTGTCTTCGAATGTTACTCAGTTACAAAGTATTATAAGTTCTAATAATGAATTACTACAAGATTTGAGCAATGTATCTATGGAAAAGGAAAGACAAATAATATCTTTAAAATCTGAATTAGAACAAATAAATGAAAAAGTTTTTCTTTTAACTGAACAGTTGCAAGTCTGTCGAGATGATTTAGAAACAAGTCAGAATGAGCTGACCAATCTAAAAGAACAACATGGAGCTACAGAAACTCAATACGTAAGAACTATTGAACGAAATAACCTTGAAATTGAAGAACTTAAACAAAATTTTACAGATACATGTCTAGAGAAAGACCAATTAAGCGCAGAGCGAGATGCTTTAATTTCGCATAAACAGGTTTGTTATTATAGAATCACTTGTATTTGGCCTACAAATATTATTATTTAGTAAATTAATGTAAATTAAAAATGTTTTTAATAGGAACTTGAAAATTCTATTCAGAAGTTACAAAGTGAACAAAAAAAGCTAAGTTGTGATTTAGATTGTATTTCTAAAGAAAAAACTGAAATGGAAATCACATTGAAGGAAGAAACAGAACATTTGAAGGCAAAATACTGTCAATTAGAAATAGACCGAGAGGCTGAAATAAAATCGTTAAATGAAAGAATACAAGGTAATGGGGAAGAATTTAAGAAAGTTTTGTCGGAAAAAGAAATGGCTCTCAATGACTTTAAAACACTTACGGAAGATTTAAAAGCCCAAATATTAGAGCTTGAGGAGTCGAAGGCAAAAGAAATTGATGAATCAAATAAAGCATTGTCTGATAAAGATTCTGAAATACAGGTTAGACTAACACGGGGGCGTGGTTACTTGTGAGTGGGTATGGTGGTGGATATTGTAGTGTAAAAAATTGCTGTCATAACTCGATAATTTTGAATTATATTTAATAAACTCGTCAAATTAAATGAATAAATTATAGTATGCATCATTGATATATAAAAATTTAGATACACATTTCCTAATAAATATCTGTTCAAAAAGTGGCGTCTACATGTGAATTGTCTAAACACAAATTCGATCTTACGCACACTACATAAAGTACTTTTGTAAACGAAACATCTTGCATTTTAATTTTCTCACCCGAAAAGCAATGAACAAAAGAGATTTGAAAAAAAGCACACTATTTTAAATTCTGCGCATCTTTTTGAGGACACTTTTAAGACGTTAATTGTGTATAATGAGTTTTTATATATTAATGGTATGCATTTATATTTTAAATATCTTTATTTCTTATTTTAATAAACCTTTTGTCAACTATAACGTGTCAACTGTCGATGCTTATAGATCTATAATATATGTTGTAACTGACTCTGTACTTGCATGATATCTAATGGCATGTTTTATTTTCCAACTGCGCTCTGCATCTACTCGTACAACTCGCATGCGGATAACTTCCTGTGACCTATTAATTTCGCTTTGGACCTCTTCGCCGGCGTTACGTTAAGTATATTCGATGGTATAGTTGCTTGAGGCTAGATTAGAGCACACGGAGAACGAGCGATTGAATGCCGAGTGTGAATTGCAGGATTTGTTGCAACAAAATACTATCCTGGAAGCAGATATGGGCTCGCTCAAAATACAGTTGGAAGAGGCGAACGTGACAATAAAGAAACGTGAGTTGATTCTGATTTTAATCTATGCTAATATTATAAAGAGAGAGAAAAATGTTTTTTGTACGTTTGTTTGTAATGAATAAACTAAAAGTTCGATTTAAATGAAATTTGGTATGAAGATAGTTTGAGATCCTGGGAAGGACATAGAATAGTTTCTACTATCTCGGAAATCATCCCTTAAGGGGGTGTAAATAGGATGAAAGTTTGTATGGGGAATCAATAATTTCTCTATTAAGGGTTATAAAACTCATTATATATATATATATATATATATATATATATATATATATATATATATATATATATATATATATACACTACCGACAGAAAGTTTCCGGACAAGCTTCTTGTTAACTTTTTAATTGAAATATGATGCATAAACACGTTAACTTGATCTATAACGAAAATGCCATGTTAGTTTACTAAGCGTGTACGATCGTGTCTTGGACTTTCCTCCCTGTCCCCGCGCACTGTTTGTGAAAAAAAAAATAAAGTCATCATCCGTAACATTCAGTACTGAACTGGAATGCAACGAAGTGAACGTATTTAAATTATTTTTTTCTATTTTTTCTATTCTATTATTTTGAAAATTGGATTATTTTTTGCATTTTTTCGATTTCTAGCAGTGATTTTATTATTTCCATATAATTATATTAGTTTTTAAAGTAAGTACATTTTTTTGTTTTGTCGCATTACTTCCAGTAATGTTGTAGTCAAAATAATTAATTTTTTTTATTAATTTATTTAAGATAATGGGAAGGCGGCCTAATACAAGTATAGAACAACGTGCAGCTATTGTTGCTCTTCACAATGAAGGTTTTACTATACGTTATATTGCGAAAAAATTAAAAATATCACGTTCTACTGTCGGAGATGCCATCAGTCGTTTCGAAAAAACTGGTTCAAATCAAGACAGAAAACGCAGTGGGAGGCCCCGTGTAACTTCTAAAGCACAGGATAGGTCCCTAATCATCATGTCTAAAATGAATAGGAAGCTTACAGCACCGGAAATTCAAATGCGGTTCAATAAAAGTCATGATAAACAGATATCAGTAAGTGTAGTAAAGGAACGCTTACAAAAAGCTGGTCTAAATGGCAGAATTTCTACAAAGAAACCACTCTTGCGACGCGGAAATAGAAAAAAAAGACTGGAATGGGCCCTTGCATATAAAGATTGGACAGTAGAAAACTGGAAACAAGTCCTGTGGACTGATGAGTCCAAGTTCGAAATGTTTGGGCAAAAGCGAAGAATTTATGTTCGTCGCGGATCTTCAGAAAAAATGCATCCCGATACTATAACTCCAACTGTTAAACATGGAGGTGGCTCCGTGATGGTATGGGGGTGTTTTTCATATGCCGGAGTAGGGGATCTCTACAGAATTAAAGGAACCCTGGACAGAAATGGTTACCATTACATATTAAAAACGCATGCTAACCCTTCTGGGATGCGCCTAATTGGCCGTGGGTATGTGTTTCAGCAAGATAATGACCCAAAGCACACATCTAAGCTTTGTCTCAACTATTTAAAAAATAAAAAAGATAGTGGTGAGTTAGAAATAATGAAATGGCCCCCACAATCTCCGGATCTAAATCCAATAGAATTATTGTGGGATGAACTGGATCGGAAAGTTAGAAAATTGAATCCCACTTCTTCGGATGATCTTTGGAAGGCTCTTCAAACGTCTTGGAATGATATTCCAAAAAGTGTGTTAGAAAAACTTATAAAAAGAATGCCCCGTGTAGTTAAAAAATTAGTGGCGGTCAGAGGTGGTTTCTTTGATGAAAAGAAAGTGTAGCAGTATAAAATGAAAGAGATAAAAAATGTTGATGGTTTTAATTGTAGAATGTTGTCTTTTAATATTTTTAAAATAAAACTTGTTTTAACTTGATTTTTTTTAATTTTAATAATTGTTTTGATAAATTTTCATCTTGTCCGGAAACTTTCTGTCGGCAGTGTATATATATAGTCTATCTATTCCAAGCTAACCGTTAACGTACCTTTTTTTTAACGTTGGGAAATGCATTTACACACGAGGTGTGGGACTCACTGGCAAAGCCAGTACTACCCACTAAAACCCAACAAAACCTTCCTCCGTCTTAATGGGGCGTCGCAGGATCGCTTACGCATTCATCTACGTCGCCCCGACGGCAGGTCTGCGGAAGCAGACCGCAACAACCACGGGGTAGCTCCATGGTACACCACCCTCCGAAGAGGGCGACCGTTAACGTACCTGGTCGAACCCGAGTGAAGCGACGGTGAATTGCTAGTTGTGTTATAATGTAAGAGTGATTCTAACCCAAACAAAACAGTTGCTACGCGGAATTGTAGAAGATGTTTTCTATATCTTAATGGAATTTGTTCGGAATAAACCTCAACGTACAAGTTATCTTACAAATAATCCAATTTTTTAACAACCGGATTTAAATATTGTTTTGTCAAATCCATCTTTTTATTTGGTAAGATTAATTTATAAGTTAGCAAGGATTGTAACAAACGCAGGTAATACATAATACTACGGGTGTAAATACACTTTGCTAAATAATTATTTAATGTAACATACCATTGTAAAAGCTCTTTAAAGGGAGAATAAGAAATGTAACAGTAATATATTTTCGTAAATTTTACAGTAAACTAACTTGATATACATATTAGTGATAGTTATATATTATTATTAGAGCATATATTTTAGATTTGGATCTCACATAGTGCAAGTAGTCCTTAAATGTTGATACATTTGTCTTTACTTTTGTTTCAGTTATACATATATAATAGGTTTGTTAATTATAATATTATTGATGTATTTTTCTATCATGTGCCATATTATGAGGATAATAATATTTACAGAATCTTCTAAACTGGTCGCTTGTGCCGCTGAATCCGCATTAGAAGTGACTAATGGGGCGATATCTGCGCTTGAAAATTCTAATGCACAAGATGCAAATAAATTAGCTGCAGAATTAGCCGCAAAAGCTTTTGAAGAATTGGCAAGGAAATCACAGGTAAATCCTCATAAAGTTAATTTTTTTAATTTTATATTTTGCAATATACGTCGTTACAGATAGATATATAATTTTAAAGGTTAAAATGATTAGGCTCTATTACTATGTCTACCCAGTCCTATCCCTCTCTGTTTTACCTTTAAATTACCATTATGTTTGGATCACAATAGGGAATCAGTCTATTTTTATGTTGCCATGGCTCGCGTCATCTTAAAAAAACGCTGGCTTTCAAGCTGCGCAGAAGCGATTTATCGGTCAAATTGCTAGTAAGAAGCGGGGTGCGGGGCGGCTCGGGGCGGCGGGGCGCGCGCCGCATGCTTGCCGGCGCGCTATTGGTTCGTCAGTTCGAAATACCATCGCGCACACAAAAGTTTTTAATTACGAATTGGTTTTATACGAGTGTATAGAAAAGAGAGAAAAATTATTTTGGATATGATATGATATGATGCAGTTAGTAATTAAAAAAATGTATTAAACGTATTAATTTAATTTTTTATAAGTAGATTATACATTCTACACTGATTTAAACAAAAAAATTTAATAATAAATAGAATTCTATTTAATGATATTCTATCTAACATATTTTTCAATGTATACCTAAAATGAACGAAGAATTGGTGGTAAAAGGTGCGGCGGTGGTTTTTATATATAAAGATTAAAACATTTTACACTGAAATAAACATGTTTTTAATTCTATTTAATGACAAAGCCTGATGATTCTATTTAAAATAAAATAAAAAAGTAATATTTTTATATAATATATTTTTCAATGTCCCTACCAATAATTAATATATGAAGCCGCGAGCGAAATGCTATGACAAATAAAATAATAGGCTTAGTACTTTTGAGCGCGAGTATACCCATGCGCAAACATACCCCCTCCACTTTCTTCCAGCGTTCTTTTTAGATGACGCGAGTTATAATACCTAGAAAGAACCAAAGTACAAGGAATAAAAATTTAGTTTTCCATAAAATAAATATGTTCTTAGAGTTCCTTCAGTTGAAATGTGTATGCGTACGTAATAAAGAGGTAAATATAATTATACTGTCTACTTTAAAGTAAAACAAGATTTTCTAAGTGTGAGTCATCACAGTTGACGTTTCAACCATTCACTATTTATTAATTTAAGGTATTATTTTATTGGTAAATATCTTACCAATAATATAAGACAAACATAATATCTTAAAAAAAACTCATCAATATATCACACTTGACTATTTTTCTATTAGTTCAAATTTTTTAATAGAAATAAATAGAAAATTCCGACTGGATCCTTTAACAAAACCTTAAAAACAAAATAAAGTGTTTGTTAATCCCCGTTAGGTCGAAGGCAATGAAGAGTTTGTAGCGAGGAACGCTATCCTCGCGGCACACAACGCGGCGCAGCTGTCGGTCTACGTCCTAGACCTCTCCAACATTAGCACTGATCTTGAACTTTCAGAGAGTAAGTAACAGTTTCTGGAAAAATAAATATTTATTCGGTTCTTTTTATGTTGGTTAGCGAGTAGCGCCATCTGTTGAAAATTCAAATCTAAATTGTAATATAATTAAATGTAGATTATATTAAAGGTAGGCGTAAGACCTAAACATATGCTATTACTAATAAATGTATATAGCATAACTTATACAAATAACGTATAAGTGACTACCGCATATGAATACGCAGTACACAGAAAATCATACATGGTTTTTGTTGCGCTGTTTGTGTTTTGATTAGTGTTTAAACAAGTATTAAATTATATAAAAATAAAAAAAAGAATAGTACAGAAAATTATTAAGATATTATGTTTTAACTGATACAATTTAGATTGTTTATAGACTTCTCTTTATACCTCTATAACAACAGAACTAAGCAACGAATGCCGCACAATGCTATCTTCGGCCAAGCAATGCCTGGAGTCGCTCAGCACGGGTGTGGTGGGGCGCGCCGCGTGCATAGAGGCGCGCGCGGCGGTGCAGACGGCCGCGCGCGCCGCCGCCGCCGCCGAGCGGCACGCGGGCGGCGCGCGCAGCGTGGACGACGAGCTCGCGGACATGGACAGGGCTATTGAAGATGCGGCTGGACAGATTGAGGTATGCGATTGTATATACATTTGAAGTGTAAAATGTTTATACATTAAGTATTGTATAGTATAGCATTAAGTCTAATGTAAGCCGTCTCACCGAAGTATGAGAGTGACAGGAATAGAGATTGGCCGCCGTCGCCGGAATCGTTCTGGAGAACATCAATGTAAGCCCTATGTTATATAAAGCGCTCATATATCAACCATGTATAGTCGATCACTCACTAAGCTAGGTTTTAATTATAAATATACTTAATATATTTAGATTATTAAATATGACTCCAACCGAAGAAGACGTTTATCTTTAAAACCTCCAAAACATACATTTGACGACATGATTGGCTCAGTTTGTAGTGACCCTACTTGCTGTGCCAGCGGTCGCGGGTTCGAGTCCCGCTGGGGGCATTCATTTGTGTGATGAGCACGAAGGTTTATACTCCAATCATGGTTGTTTATATTTATAATATGTATGTATTTAAAAGTTATATATGTGTAGTGTATCAACTATCTGGCATCCATAACACAAGCCTCGTAGCTTACCAGAAACTAGATGGCGCTGTGTGTTAATGTCCCAACATATTTATTATTTATTTATACCACATTTGACATTAATCATCGTCATGTAGGAGGTGCCATTTCTCAAATTACTTGGGGTCGCAGTGTGTCTTCTTCCATTTATCTCTATTATTCGTCAACTCAACATTCACCCCTTTCTCTTTTATGTCATGTCTCACACAATCTATCCATCTTTTCTTCAGTCTTCCTTTACCTTTCCATTCATCTATATCCATTGCCATCACCAAAATTATTCAAAATTGGTTCAGCGACTTAAACGTGATAACGTAACAAACGGAGATACTTTCGTATTTGTAATATAAGTTTGAATTTGGTTAAAACAGTTGTAAGAACTATAATGTGTAATACAACTATTTTAATGTATTTCGTAATGTGTCAGTTACATGACGTTATTGTTAGTTCTATATTATACTAGCATCCCGCGGCTCTGCCCGTGATCAGATGACCAAAAACCAAATTCTTAGGTTTTACATATTAGTCTTCTTCTTCTTCTTCTTAGGTTGTACATATTACATACTCTTACATTGTAGTCTTTGTATTTTTTTCTCAGAAATGAGACACTTTCCCGTGATAAAAAGTATTCTATATCTTGACCCGGATAACCAGCTATAACCATACAAAATTTCAACTAAATCCCTCTAGTGGTTTTTCTATGAAGCGGTAACAGACAGACAAAAATTCTAAAATCTATAGATTCGGTCTCTGTATCGATAATTATGTTTATTTAAATAAGATTTTCCAAAAAATATTTAATGTACAGACTCGGCTTAGTTACAATTTTATTATGTGTATAGATAGATATGTTTCATGAAATGTTCTCCTATAGTAAAATAAATTAAAAGTAATGTTCAACCAGTGATAACTTGTATCATAGGAAATGCTGAAAGCGAGCAGAGCGGGCGACACCGGCGTGAAGCTGGAAGTGAACGAGAAGATCCTGGACGCGTGCACGACGCTGATGCGCGCAGTGAAGGTGCTGGTGCAGGACAGCCGGCGGCTGCAGAGCGAGCTGGGCGACCCAACCGCGCGCCAGAAGCTGTACCGTCGCAACCCGCAGTGGTCGGAGGGGCTCATCTCCGCCGCCAAGGCGGTGGTCTTCGCGGCCAAGTTACTTGTGTGAGTGGCTTTTTGTGTTGCCACTTGCCAAGTTATTTATTACATTTTTGACTGTCAGCTTTTTAAAACATCGTTTTTGGTTTACCTCTACCGTATTGTAGTAGTTAAAAGTTTTTGGATGTGATTATATTTTTTTTTTGAATTATTATATATATTTTTTACTTTATTAATTACTGTGCTTTACAGTAGTCTATGTGCTATTTCAGGTCATAATCTGTCATCATATCTGTCTATCTCTGTGTATTGAATATCATTGATAAAGTCAAAAGGGTGGAAGAAACTACAAACGTTTACGTACCTACATACTTTCGCACGTGAATGCTTGTTATTTTTTCAAGCTATGGTTTTATTTATATATTTTGTTTTGTAGACTTTAGTGATCACTGACATATTTTTTAGATATGTTTACCAAAGTATAAAAGACTATAGTTTGTCCATTTTATAAATAGTTTTTTGACAGCTTACGCCCATGAAGTTTCGTATTTAATGGTTAACCGGTAAGTTAAAATTTCATACAAATAATATTGTACTTCATGGACGGGTACCGCCCCCTTATTGATGTGCCACACATAACGATTACTACGATTGTGCCACAGATTACAAATAATCGATAGAAATAAATGCTAATATGTAAATAAGGTGTAATATGTTATTTAATCAGGAAGACAGCAAAATTTTAAGGTTGAAACCAATAAATTAAAATATTAACATTATCTAAAGTTTTACTTTCTTCTTAGCATAAGGCATACAAATAAACCCCCCCCAACGTGCGTTCACCTTGTCGTGGTGGGGGGGCTCAGTAGTGCCTGGCAATCCAACCGGGCGTGAAGCTAAGAAACGCACAGGGAGGTTGCCCACTTCGGTGGGCGGTGGGAGGTGGCCCTCTTTGGGGGGCGGTGTACCATGCGGGTTGCTCCTGGTACTTCTCTGATAGCAGAGGGGACTGTGGAGCAACTCCATGGTTGTGGTGGTCTGCTTCGGCAGACCTGCCGTCGGGGCGTCGTAGTTGAATGCGCAAGCGATCCTGCGACGCCCCATTAAGACGGGGGAAGGTTTTGTTGGGTTTTAGTGGGTAGTACTGGCTGTATTACGCCGGTGAGTCCCACACGTGCGTAAATGCATTTCCCAACGTTAAAAAAAAAAAAAGGCATACAAATAAAACAACTAAAATAGTTTAATTCCTTTTATTAACATGTTTCGTCAGAATCATCTTTTATATTAGATTCGTCCGATGAGGAGTCTTCAGTTATATTGATTATTAACTCTTGTGTGCATAAATTATCAAATGCTATGTCACGGTCCCAATCAGACATTATGACTCTTTTAGTTCTCTCCACCACACTTGCCCAGTTCTCGGCCGTCACGTGGGTGCAAGCGTTTTTGAGTAATTGCAACATTTTATTCGCTGTGAATGGGGGCCTTGTATTGTTTCTTGCAGCATGCCCTTTTACTTGTGCCCATATAAGTTCTATGGCATTGTATTGACAGTGATATGGAGGAATCCTAAGGACGTTATGACCATATTCTGCTGCCATTTCATCGATCACATACCGTTTTGGTTTCTTTTTGGTTTTTAATATTTTTACCAATTCTATTTTAACATAGAATCATCCACATTTTCTCCATTTTCGCGTAGCCAATTAATAATTTCATGTTTTTTATTGGCTTGCGTTGGAATTTTGTCAATTTGGCGAGAGTGGTAGGGCGCGTTATCAATAAAAATTATTGATAGTTCTTCCAATGATAAAAGCATATTCTTGAACCACTCTTCATACACCTCTGCATTCATTTCTGCGTGGTAATCGCCAGATCCCTTTGATTTAAATGCCAGCAGTGCGTCTTGTACAAAACCTTTTGCTGTACCTGCGTGGCAAATGATGAGGCGTTCGCCTTTTCCAATTGGTACTGCGGAGGTGGAAGCAGCAGTGTCGTCAGTCCAGGACACTGTAGTGTGGTTAGCGTTGAGCCATGTTTCATCCGCAAAGATAATATTTGGCCAATCTTGATTTTTTTTTGCCTCTCTTAAAAAGTCACATCGTGCCAAAGCAATATCAGTGCGTTCCGTTAATATTTTTCTTTTATCTGATTTTGTATACGAAAAGCCAATTCTTTTTAAAACTTTGGCCACAGAAGACTTTGGACCACAAAATAGACCACTTCTTTTCAAAGAAACAACCAATTTTCTTATAGTTGGAATTTCTTTTTTCAGATAATAGTCATATACATGACGACGAATGGCGTCAGCGTCAAAATCGTCAACTGCTGTTACATCACGAGGCCGGCGTTTTCTTTTTGGTGTAACAGGCTTGTTTTGTTCTAAGCCGCTCCTGCCGTAGGTTTCGTCAGTGATTTTAGTCACAGTTGTAAGACTGATACTCAATGCGGCCGCAACACGGTTTCGCACTTGCGAGATAGGTATAAGCGGACCGCCATTTTGATTTTCTTGTTCAAAGTAACCATGAAGTTGTAGCACTAATTGTCTCGATTGTCCTTTCAACACACTTCCTTTCGGCATTTTCACGATTAATGTACTCTGCTAACTGCTTAATCTAAGCACTCCCAAAAGTTGCACCGAGGAATAAAACTACTCAACTCGAGGTCTAACAAATGCGAGAGAACACTCAGCGAACGTAAATGCGTGTGACTAGCACGGGCGTTTGTTGCGAGTGACAGACTACGTCAAAAAGGCGGCCGGACGTACGATCCGTATATATAGTTTTACGATTATAATATTTATTTTCAAATTAATAAATATAAAAATAAATATTATCTTATATTTAAAAAATAAGGGATATCGATTATTACGTCCTTTAGGACATCATTATTACTTATCAGTCGTCGAGCTGTCAAAAAACCATTAATAAAATGGACAAACTATAGCGATTTATACGTTCACTTCGCCGGGTTGCTATATTGGCAGCTGTATCGGCTATCGTTCCGCACCTAAAGTGCATCTCTGGCCGATATAGCAACTACTGCCAATTTTTTTGTCTTTGAATTTATAACACTCGGTCTATTGCAGCTTGCTATTAGTGAAATAAATATCGGAATCGAATAAATACTTTCAGGGGGTACCCTACATGCAAACTTTATTTTTAATATATAAAATTCTCATGTTACAGTGTTTGTAACAAAACTCCTCCGAAACGGCTTGATCGATTCTTATGAAATTTTGTGTGTATATTCAGTAGGTCTGAGAATAGGACGTATACTATTTTTTATACTCCAAGTGATAAGGGTGGTCCACCCCAACATTTTTATTTTTTGGACAAAATTCTCTATTTTACATATTTTATGATTCGGCATTTAAAAAATACATACAGACCTAAATTTTTACTACGAACGACGACGCTAGTCTTTTTATAATATTAGTGTAAATACAATTTGTGTTCAATAAAGTATTATATATAATTGTGCCTGTGTAATCAGTACGTCGGCGGACGAGGCGGTGCGGTCGGCGGGGCGCGTGGAGGGCGTGTCGGTGGCGGCGCACGAGGTGGCGGGCAGCACGGCGCAGCTGGTGGCGGCGTCCCGCGCGCGTGCGCCGCCCGCCGCGCCCGCGCTCGCGCGCCTCACCGCCGCCAGCCGCGACGTGGCCGCCGCCACCGGCGCCGTGGTCGCCGCCGTGCGCGCTGCCGCTGTACTCGCACGTGACCAAGGTACGCACACACACACTACTTTATATAGATAGCTGCTTATTTGTTGTTTTCCTGGTTTCATTATGAATATGGCCTGATAAGCTTCATATTATATCATTATAGTATGTAAATAGAGTTACGTATGTTGTTTGTTGTGCCATGTTGATACAAATAGAATTAAACCCATATTTTCAACGATATTACTTCGTAAATTCATACAGCAGATGATCGCATGACAAATGCAAGGGTTATCATAAAAGTAAAACAATCCTGGAATATGGATATGGTTTTTAGTTTAAAGTGCTATACTGACATAATATGGCAAGTTACAATTATACTGTCAACCCTAAGAAGACCGTTACCCGTCTGTCATATAAAATAATGTATGGCAGTCGGATGCACATTTTGCTCGTACTATCTTGGACTATAGACTATAGATCTTATGGACCAGTAGACTGTAGTTACATCTATGTTAGTTGTGTATGTGTATAAATGCGTATACTGCTATGTGAGTAAGCTAGCGATATCCGCAGAGGCGCTGGACACGTCGGCGCTGTCGCTGACGGCCACGCGCCGCCTCGAGATGGACAGCAAAGTGCGCGCTCTCGAGCTGGAGACGGCGCTGGAGGCGGAGCGCGCGCGCCTCGCCGCGCTGCGCAAGCGGCACTACCACCTCGCGCAGCTGCACGAGGTATTTATACTCGCTCGGTTTTTGAAGTGATAACTTCTTGTGGGAGGGTAAACCGCTTGGTACGTAACGCGTTACGGCGCCAGTCTATCTGGCTTCCCTTTCTCTCACGCATATGGCAGCGGTAGGCAGGCTCCTCCTCTCTCACTCTAACCCGCAGCGCTAGCTGTTTAGATGTATATAGAATAAAATATATTTTATAATCAATAAAAGATTTTATTAATAAACTAGCGGCTCACCCTCGCTTCGCTCGGGTTCGTCGCGCTACGTTTTAAATAGATATAAATAGTTATTAGCCAGTTTATTAGCCATATAAATATTTTTTTTCGTTAATTTTTCTGACGTTTTAATACTTAGGTATTAACCTATTCCGGAATGAGAGAAATCCAAAAATTCAAATATCATAAAAATTGGTCCAGCCGTTCTTGAGTCTTGTATACGGGAACGCAGTCGAACGGGCTAAAAATCCTATGTCCGTCTCCTGGTTCTAAACTACCTCCCCACCAAGTTTCAGCCAAATCGGTTCAGCCGTTCTTGAATTATAAATAGTGTAACTAACACGACTTTCTTTTATATATATAAGATAACCTTTCCTTACATTATCGTATTAATATACATCAAAGGGTCTAGCCGTACTTCTATGGCGAAAGTGCCCCCGATAGGAACTTATATCGTAAACAATGTTATATTGTAGAGGACACCAACAGTAGTTCATCGAGTAGATTATAGCTCTATATCTTAGTTAATTTCAAAGTTAGCAAAATAAAACTAAATGTTAGTGTTATAGTACACTTTGTACTTTATTTTATAGCCGTTTCCTATAAACCAAGCCTAAATGAAAGTATTAAAAAAATGCAAATAAAAATTTTGTCAATCGATTTCTATCAGATCTAATTAAATTACCACTTTGAAAAAAAATATAATAATTGTATATATATTGTCTAATAGTATGCCAAGTTTCCTTAAAATCCAAGGGGTGCAACATGTCGAAAAAAAATCAAAAGTAAGTGAACACGCACTTTACGACCACTATGTTGACACTTTTAACGTGCATTACATTTTTAGTTTTTCAATATTGGGCACGAAAGGTTTAAAAGGAAATGGAATACATATTTTTTCAATAGAAATTAAACCAATATTCATAAAAAAGTACTTTTATTAGTCATCATCACTATCTTCATTAATTACAACGAGCTCGTTATCGGAACGAGTATCGGGGGCACTTTCGCCATAGAAGTACGGCTAGACCCTTTAAGTAATAATCTAAGCTTTTCTCAAGTTAAACAATTTCGATATTAAATAGTTCAACTTAGTTTAAGTTATCACTTCTGTCGGACGTCCCGAGACGCACACGTTTTTTATTTTTTCAACTTTTTTTTTAATTATATTTCTTCTTTGATTTTTTTTTATTAACAGCTGTTTTTTTACCTGATTTATTATTATTCATGCTAATAACGAGTCATGCGGATTGTTTTTCGATCCGGTTTTACAAGTCTCCATTTTTTATTATGGCATTTTTCAACTTGAAAGGTTCTTATAATAAAAGATAATGTCCTGCTATTTCATTAGCAAGGCTTTTTAAATATATTTTTAAGAGAAGTTTATCTAATTCACATTGCCCTAGAATGTATTTTTTTTTAATATGACTATAATCATTTTGCAATAAATCTATGCTATAACCATAATTATTGGCATGTGTCCATATGTACTGAGTAAGTACTATAGCTAAACCTTATTAAAACGACAATTTCACATTGACGTAGAGATTTTTAAAATTGTTATGTTTTTTTGCAGAATGGGAATATGACAAATGGAGAAGAGTGAACTTGGCGTTAGAAACTCAATAGAAGAATTTAATTAAAAAAAAAACATTTAATATTTCTAATATATAGGTGGAGACATCTTCGTAATTCAGTGTCTTAAATTATTTTCAATTGAATAACTCAACATTGACTACAAATTCATTCCATTTTCTTTTGTATGAACATTTGTATAATATGTAAGCAAGCTTTTTAAAACAGTGACTCTAACATGACACTAATTGTATTTACGGCATTTTATTTCAACGATCATTCTAAAGTTGCATTTATATTGATTACAACGAAATTTTATTCTGTTTTTTTAACAAACCTATAAAATATGCTCATTAAATTATGTAATCAATGAGAGAATAACGTCTTCCTTTTAGAGAAGGCAAATATTAAGTAGGCAAATATTTGCAATAAAAAACTACCAAATAATTTAGATAGGTGGTGTTGAATTAGAATCCAATTTTTACACGGCTATATAATAAAATTGTAGAATTAATTACACTAAAACTGCCCTATATGTAAATTATTATTTTCAATCCGATTTTTTCAATTTATTGTAATTATATTGTCGTATTCTATGATTGGAATGGAAAAGTAAAACTGAGATAAATGAATGTATAGGACATACATACATATTATACACTAATATACTAATGTATTGTTAATGTTTGATACAATAAAGTATGACATACGTTTATTTACCATATACTTCTACCATCCATATAGTATAGTATATAGAAACATTTAATTACAGACTTGACATTTAATTATACTGATTAATCATTAAAACTTGAACTACTGAGAGCTTCAAATTATGCCACTGTTATTTATATAATATTGCATCATTACTGTTTTGATAGTGACTCACTATATAGTTTGTTCTCTCTCACTTATAGATTGACCTTAAGCTTTATGTATAAGACTAAGTTGTAGTAAGACACAATTGACTTTTTTATGTACCTTCATGTATGTTTTACATTATTTACCTTGTATAATTGTTTCATTTATGTCTCAGTTTGTCAAAAACTGGTTATAAATGACTAAAGATAATCATCACTTAATATGTGTATTGATATATCTATAGATATGTGTAAGTGACAATCAAAATTAAGAGAATTATTTTGTAATATTTAGTGATTTGTAATATTATATTTATATGATGATATATTGTGTTTACTAATAAAATATCTACACACTAAAAGTTTCTTCAAATTTGATTTACCCATGACATTATAGCACTACTGCTTGGCCTCAACAAGTATCGATATGGTATAGGACAAATTAAAACAACAAATTGCTGAGACAATTTTATTATACATACATAATATATTTCATGTACAACTACAATCACAAAAAATACTTGACAAGCATAGCATAATGCTATTATCCTGGACAACATTACATGCTTATAAAAATAATATAATTATGTTTAAAGATCTTTGTAATATACTTAATTGAAACAATGAAATGCAACAGAAATCTTAAGCTAGAAGTTGTATTAAACTTATACCCACTGGCAAACCTCAACCTAAAAATACTTGTGCAACATATTTGTGCAAATACTTGTTATAACAAAATAGTGACTGGGAGTTCTTTAATTGGAATATTAGGCCGTGAATGGAATTTTTATGTAAAATGTATATGTATATTTGCATAACAGGCCCTTAACCAATGTTTGCATCAACTAAATTGCTATCAAAACTTACTGATGGTAAATCCTTCAAAAATTTAGCACCACTTATCAAAATCTCACTTTAGATATTTTATTGAATACTGTATAATACGATCTTATGTAATCATACTATTATTTGAAATTATGCATTTAGATAATTATTTTAGAGGTTAGGCCTCTTGCCTAAAATAAAGACAGAGAGTTGCAAAAGATGCTATATACTTTTACATAATACAGAAAGCCATTTAGTTTCGTGCTTCATTCCATTTTAAGTGCCTCTCATGAACAAGTTGTATAATTTTGACATGGACAGCTTGGTACTTCTCAAACTTGGGTGGAATAGGGCACAGTCTATAGGTTACTTCGTCCCCTGGTAATGGCACATATTCACCTTCAATGCTGGAACAAGAATTGGAAGTAGTTTCAGTTAATAATAATATGCTGTTTGTTTGTGATTAATTATTGTTGTAACTTTTAACTCAATAGGCAAGAGTATTGATAGCATAATCAAGCTAATGAAACTTTTTTAGCAAAAATCTTTTACAACTAATAAATTTTTGAATCTATATAGCTCAGCCTCTTTTTGATTTTTAATTAATTACAATGTCAATTTTCATGTTTATAAAAATAAACCCAATAAATGTATAAAAGTGATATTATGTTAATTTTGTCTAGTGTATTTTAGGAAAGGGAAATTTAACTCACTCTGAAATATGTACAAATATATCTTCTCCACCCCTTCCTGGATTTATGAAGCCATGTCCTTTTTCCCGACAGAATTTTTTTATTTTGCCATATTCGATAGGATTTTGTAGAGCCCTCTCAGAGCTAAAAACAATTGAATATGTATAATATATATTAACATAAAAGTTGAATACTGAAAATATTCTATTTAATACAATTATAACAAACTTACGTTGAAGCAGTTCGATTTCTTCGTGTTATTATAGGGCTTGGTAACTGGAGATGAGTTAAGGTTTTGTTCGGAGAGTCGTCATTGTTAAAACCATTGTCACTAGACATTGTAAGTTCAAGTATTTTAGTGACAAATACAAAAAAATGCAAACTTATTAAAAGCTCTTCAGCAAAATATTGATAATTTTGGTAATAATAAGTTATGGTTCAGTAGAAAATAAATGTTTGTCAAAGAGAGGGCGGTAATGTATTAAGTAGGAGATGTGACACTTGATAATTGATATCAAGCTTGACACTCAGTTCAATTCAATTTTCTTTTGATGTTTTTGATGCTTGACATTGAACTAGACGTCAAGTATAAAGCTGACCAATTCAACTCTATGGCAATGAGCGTCTGACCAATTTGGGAAGATTTCTCGAAAGGAGGGCGCTACACGTATTGCCTACTAGCGGTTCACTCTCGCTTCGCTCGGGTTCACCTCTAGAAAAACAAAAACAAATTTATCCCTCGGGAACCGTAAATTTGGTGTGTATATTTCAATGGGTTCCTGGATAGTTTGAAAATACAAATGGACCCAATAGGTGGCGCTGCAGTCGGTGTGCCACTGAACATCTCCTAAACGGCAGGGACGACTTTAATGATATTTTTTGTGTATGTTCAAGTAGGTCCCTGCAAGGTTTGAAAACACAAATGGACCCAGTAGGTGACGCTGCAGTCGGTGTGCCACTGATCATTTCCTAAACGGCAGGGACGATTTTAATGAATTTTTTTATTTATGTTTGAGTGGGTCCCTGTAAAGTTTGAATTCACAAAAGGATCCGGTCGGTGGCGCTGCAGCCGGTGTGTCACAATTTTTTTATAAAAGACCCCATTTTCCAAGCAATAAATAAATTTAAGTTGTATGTGTTTCCCATGGGCTCCAAAACAGCTGGAGCGATTTTGATGAAATTTTAAGGTAATCTTCAGATTAGCCCAGCGAGTGATCCTGTGAATTTTGTAGCGATTGGAAGTTTGGACGCGGTCGAAGCCGTGGGTACTGCTAGTACTACTATAGATAGTATAATATAATAGTAGTTTAAAAACTACCTAAACCTGGATGGAGTGTAAATAAAAATCTCCCGATTTCTCATTTAACGTTTTTTTATTTTTCACTTTTGCAACACTGTGCTGGGCTTAGTGCGACTGCGCTGTGTGCGTCTGCGTCATTCGACTTCGAGTTGCTCGTTTTCGCCGTAGGATTTCGCAGTTAAGTTGACACTTGACAGCATGGAGTATATTGCTACTTAAAATAACTTCAGTACACAAAATCATAAGACATTTTTATTAGCATAAAGATATGAATGAATGACATACATAAGAATCGAACATAAGAATATTTTTTAAAATTACAAAAGAATGTACATGTAAAGAGTATTTATAACATTCCTCCGGGGCTACTTTTTTTTTACATCCTTCCTTAATCAAATTTCTTCAATCAACCTTCGTGGCGGTTTTATAGTACGTTTACTACGTCGTTGTATCGCTTTATATTCTCTATCCTTATTGGATTCATTGGTTAGCCTGTCTTGTTCGATTGTTTCTGCTATTAGGCTTCCGGGTCTAGGTGTTGATTGTATCGTTATCGTTTCTGTGGGTGTAATATTAGGAATCGAGGCTTTTATCGGAGTCACTGGTTCCGTAGATTTTTCAGATGAATTTTTTTTGGTTGATTGTTTTCTGTTTGGTGCTTTGTGTTCAAACCATGTTGAGCTGATTGGTGTATGTTCAGCTTTTGTATCATTTTCTCTATCCATGGCTCTTGGCCTAATATGATCTGCATGTATTCGCCTTTCTGTTCCATCGGGTGTATTGACTTTATATGAGTATTTATGTGTTCTCTGCTTAATAACACCTGGCTTCCACTGTTTCATCACTTTATCTCGAATATAAACGTTATCTCCGGGTCTAAAAGCTTTTGAATTTTCGTTCAAAATGTCTGCTTGTAATTGCTTAAATCTCAATTGATGCTTTAGATTCGGGCGGGCATTGTCTAACTCACATGTAAGTCTGCGTCCAAACATCATTTGAGCTGGTGATTTTCCTGTCGTCGTGTGAGGTGTATTGCGATACGTAAATAGGAACTTTCTTAGGCGATTTCTTTGGCAGTCATTGTCACCTTTACTTGCCGCCATTCGAGTTTTAAAAGTTCGAACTAGCCGTTCTGCCAATCCATTTGTTCGTGGATGGTAAGGTGACGATTTGATATGTACAATGTTCTTAAGCTTGCAATATGTTTGAAACTGCGATGATGTGAATTGTGGTCCATTATCAGAAACTATAATTTGTGGTAATCCGAATGTAGTAAAAATATCGTCTAGTTTATTGCAAAGTTTATCTGTAGAAATTTTGTCCATTGGAACAATTTCTATCCATTTCGATAGAGCATCCGCCAATACTAGCCAATACTTTCCCTCAAACGGTCCTGCAAAGTCAATGTGTATTCTCTCCCATACATTGTCTGGGATTGACCATGAAAATATAGGAAGTTCTGTGTTATTTGGTCGATTCTCTTGACACATATGACATTTTTTAACGTAAACATCAATATCTTCTTCGATTGTTGGCCACCATACATAAAATCGTGCTAAAGCTCTCATTGCCGAAATACCTGGATGACCTCTGTGTAAATATTTTAACGTGGGCAGGCGCAATGTGTACGGCATCACAATTCTACCCTGCCACATAACTAAATTGTTTTCTATTGTAAGTTCTTCACGTTTGCGTAAATAAGGTTGTAGTTCTGCTTTCTTTACTAAATTTATCCATCCTGTTTTAATGAATTGCATTACTTGTTTAAGGCTATTATCTTTCGCGGTTTCTTCCTTAATATGTTGTTGAGTTAGTGATAAATCATTTATTTTGTCGTATTGTGTAATTTCGTCAATTTTATGAATTCTTAATTCAGCTCTTGTAGGTTCCTCTTTATGATTTGGCATACGTGATAAATAATCAGCGACTGTATTATTCTCGCCCTTTCTATATAAAATTTCATAATCATAGCTGCCTATTAATAAAGCCCATCTCACGAGTCTGTTGTTTACTATTTTTGGTAAGTTACGTTGGTGTCCTAGAATGTGTATTAAGGGTTTGTGATCAGTTACCAAAGTAAATTTAGTTCCTCTTAAATATTGGTCAAATTTTTTAATGCCATAAAATATGGCAAGTGCTTCCCGATCTATTACTGAATATCTGGATTCTGCTAATTTAAGTTTTCTTGATGCATATGCTATAGGTTGTTCAAGTTTGTTTGCTTTATGAAATAATACGGCGCCTATGCCTTTCTCTGAAGCATCGCATGCTAAATATAGAGGGCGTGTCTCATCGAAAGCTATTAATGATTTGGACGTTGTTATACTGTGTTTAATTTCATCAAAAATTTCATTTTCATAAGATCTCCATTGCCATTTGCTTTTACTTCCAGTTAACTTATGGAGATCTGCGCAAATGCTATGTAAATTTGGAATAAATCTCTCATAGAAATTAACTAAACCTAGAAAAGATCTTAAATCTTTTATATTAGTGGGCGGTGGCGCATTAAGGATAGCTTCAATTTTTGATTTTGTTGGCCGCACACCAAATCTGTCAATTGTATGTCCTAAGTATTCTATTTCTGATTGTAAAAATGAACATTTTTTTAAGTTTACTTTGAGACCTGCCTTCTCCAATCGAGTAAATACTGTGGAAAGTGCTTTTAAGTGTTCGCTGTCATTTCTTCCAGTCACAGCTATGTCATCAAAATAAACAGCTACATTTGGTATATCTTCTAAAAGTTTGTCTAAATAATGTTGAAAAATAGATGGCGCAGTTGCGGTACCAAATGGCATTCTGTTGTATTGAAAATAACCTTTGTGGGTCGAAATTGTTAGATATTTTTTTGATGCTTCGGCTATTTCAAATTGTAGGTATGCGTCTTTTAAATCAATTTTTGAATATTTCTCTCCATTTGATAGTCGTTGACGTAAGTGGTCGAAAAGAGGAACTGGGTGTGCATGTTTTATAAGTGCTGAGTTAATTGTTATACGGTAATCACCACATATTCTTATTTGACCATTGGATTTAAGAACATTAACTGTAGGTGTTGCCCATTCTACTGGAGTTATGTTTGGGTCTATTGGAGTAATAATGCCTTCATTAACCAAACGCTCTAATTCAATATCTACGTTTCTTTTAATACTAAATTTTATAGGACGAGCAGGAAGATGTTTTGGTTCTACTCCTTCTTTAATGTGGATGTTTACTTGATAATTGTTTACTCTTCCTAGTTTACCGTCGAAGAGCCTAGTGTGAGCATCTAATACACGCCTAAGTGACATGTTCGTTGTCATTGCAATATTTTTTATAGAGTAAACGGGTTCCGGAAAAATCATATCAAAAGATTCACTCCACTGTAGGCCAAAGAGCATTGGCTCAGCATGCTTCATTACAATTACTGGTAATATTAAACTTCGGTTATCAACTTCTACAGTAATATCAGTTAAGCCTTTGGGTTTTAGTTTGAAGTTACAGTAAGCTTTTAATGTGGGTGCTTGCATTAGTGAGGGTGATCCAATTTTTCTCCACATTTTAGTATTAATGATGGAATATACGGAACCTGGATCCCAATCCATTGTACACTTAATACCGTTAATTTTAACATCTATTTTTTTACACCTGCTTGTTTTTTTATTTTGTATTTTGTAGGTATTGCTCTCTTCCTCACTTTCTTCGCTACCTGAAAATGATGAAGTTGGTGTTTGTGATACTCTGTTAGTTATATTTGCTCTTTCTGTAATTATGTATAAGTGCCTATTTTTCTGAAACTTAGTTGATTTTTTAAACGGTTTATAGTTGTCAAGGTACGCTCGGCCAGTTTTAATGCAGCAACTTTCAAAGTGACCTATAACTCCACATTCTGTACATTCATGATTTCTGGCTTCACATTTGTCAAAGCTGTGTCTATTGTGCTTGCCGCATCTGCGACATTGGTCTAGGCGTAATTTGCGTGTTGGTTTCCGTATGTTTTCTTCTTTTCTGTTTCCAGTTTTGTTAGATATTCTGTTAATGTTACACTCTGTATTAATATCTGCTTCAGCTAGTTCCCTAGACTGAGCAATAGCAAATAACTGTAAAAATGTTACTTCTGTTTTTATTCCGTTTTGAGTATCTATAAGATCAGGCCATTTTTGTCTTAGTTCAATTTGTAATTGTTGATGATTTAGCCCTGTAGCGAAGCGATCTCGTAACTGTCGTTCTAATATAGTGTCATCATAACCGCAGTCTTTGCTGAGTTCTTTTAACCTATTGGCATAATGTTCCATGCTTTCACAGGTATCTCTGATACAAGACCAAAATTCAGTCAATGCCTTGTATCTTGTTTTACGTGTTTTATATATATCTAGTAGTTTATTTTTAATATCATCGTAGGTAGAATTTTCGAATGAGGGTATTAGTGCTGTTTTAATTTCGTGATATGTTTCAGGTTTTAAACATGATAATAAAAGGTCTTTCTGTATATTTAAGTAACTTTCACCCCCTATTCTACATTTGGCTTCAAAATATTCGATAAAATTTTCAATTGACGAGTTACTTGACGGTTCAAATTTGTCTCCTCTAAAATTATTAATGATGGCTATTTTATTTATTTCTGTCGGTGTTGAGGTAGTTACCTGTAATTCCGTTCCATTGTTGTTCAATGGTGTGGGTGTGGTAATTCGTGTTTCAACTAAAAATTTCAGGATTTCTGTTATTTGTTGTTGCTGTGATACTTGATTTCGAAGTAATTGGTCTATTTGTTCAGGGTTCATTTTTATCCCATCCTCGTCGCCAATAAAATAACTTCAGTACACAAAATCATAAGACATTTTTATTAGCATAAAGATATGAATGAATGACATACATAAGAATCGAACATAAGAATATTTTTTAAAATTACAAAAGAATGTACATGTAAAGAGTATTTATAACACTACTTAAAAAAGTCTCAGTTTTCAGTCTCCATGTCATTTATATATTTCATTTTATATATGTAGCAATATACTCTATGCAGTCTCCTTACATCCAGGAACGCAGTATTGCTTGTCTGATGGCATAATTGGGCCTTGAACTTCTTGATGAGCACACCAAAAATGAAAAAATCCTCCTAAAAAAAAACAAAACGGTAGAAACGAATCCTAACTTAGTTCTACTAACTACGAAATTGCCATATAATTGAGATCACTGTCTTAAGAGTTCATCGCAGGAACATAAGCTCAACTTTACTGGCACTTACTTTGGGGAAAATTATAAATTTTTAAAATATCACACTTGGATCGAAATCCCACTGCAAGATTGCTACGTTCATCGCGTATTTAATCGAAATCAATTTTTTAAATACAATAATAAAAGAAACAATATGTTTTGACCAGGGTGCCTATCCAAATGTGCCTGCTAGTATGTTTAATTAACTAAATAATAGTTGACTTTTTGGATTAAAAACGATGCATTTGTTATTACAATGAATTATACTCCACTTCACAGAACTATATGTAGAGATCTTGAAAAATGATAGCTGCCGTTGCGCATTTGGCCGTAACCTCTTCGCAGCCAGGTGTAAGCGGGTCATATTTTGGGACGTTTAAATACGTTCATCGCGTATGTTCATAATTTATATATCAAATTAAAGCTAATTTTTTTTCTGTACCTGATAAACTACGTCTGCCTACTTTTTGTTACATTTATACGTTCATTGCGTATATTCATCATTTATATATCAAATTAAAGCTGATTTTTTTCTGTGCATGATAAAATACCTCTCACCTATGTAAAAGTAGCCGCAATGGAAAGAAACGAAGGAAAGAATATAATATGTCATATGTCAGGCCAATAACAACGGTTACCATGACAACAAACAGATAACTAACTGAATCTATCTTTGCCTAACTTTACTTACTTTGCCTCTATCTATATTTAAATAGAATGTACCCACACAGATGGATCAGTGTCTGGAGCTGATTGTGGCCTCCACGTTCACTGAACCTGAATCCACTTTTTTTTATTGGGGTTGTCTTAAAGAAGAGGTGTACTGCAAGCCGATTAGGTCCTTAGAAGACTTACATTATATGTAGCCGTGTCCGGGCAGCCGCATCAAAAATATTAAATAAGTGAGTGACGCTACACGAGACTGCTTAGAAGGACATTTATTTGTAGATGTAGGGCCTATATCACAGTAAGTGGCACACAATTAGCACATTTATTACGAATAAAATAAAGTCAAATTAATGTTGAAACTTGAATGTTGTCTTTTATTAAACCCCCAATGGTCAGGTACAATCTAATGTAAAAAATGTTCCCATATTATATTATATGTATTTCGATATTTATTAGTCAAATTTACTCCTTTTGTATATTAATAGCAATCATTCACTATTTACATCAAATACCATATTGAATTATACCATTTTGAAATCTTCTTTGAACACATTTTTTTTAATTATTGGTCAGTCATGTATTCATACATTTTTTTTTACACCCAAGGTGCTTAAACTTTGCTTAGAGATTTGAATTTTGCTAATTTTTTACTGAATTCAAGTCGCTTTTAAAAAAAATGTGCAATAGCTAGTCTTAATAATTACTACTGATCTATTGGCATGGTTAGTGTATATTAAAATAACAACAAAAAATAGATGGAATTAATCATGGACGAATTGTTAATTCGTTAATGGATTAATGTATTTTGTGGTTGAGGTGTAAAGTGTTCATATTTTATATATGTTATGGGTCTCTGTTCACATATTTAAGATCTTTTTGTAAATATTGCCTGAAATAAATGATTAAATCAAATAGAGTATGTAACTTTGTAGTCACAAACTATGTAGAGATGCTACGCATCTTGTAGTGTTTCTATACATATATAATGTAAAATAATATAAAAAGTCTTCTAAAAAACGGCTAAAAGTTTTGCTATAAGCCATTTCCAGGTTATCCATTGAAAACAGGACACCGGTATATTGTTTTACTTATCACTTTTTTAACTAGAAATCCATAAGGTTAAGTTAAAACTATTACGTGACTTTATGAGAACGAATTTAAGGACTAGGCATTATTACAAGCAATAGCTTTATTGCTTTAACATATTTTGAGATTATCTATACCTACTAATATTATAAATTTGAAAATTTACCTAGATGTTTAAATTTTTTTACTCAACCACGCCAGAACGGCTGAACGGATCAGTTTTAAACGCCGCGGCCTTATGCTTATAAATCATATTTTATTATTCACATATGATGTAGGCGAAGCTTGGAATACTTGAAGAATTACCGTAAGGGAAAAGCAAAGCCTCAAAGTTCAAACAAATCATCAAAAACTAAGTCAGGTGTTTTATTTCTTCAAACCGCTTCAGTGTAACCACATCACGACATTCTGCAATAGTATAGCGGTGTGAATACGCAGCTCAAGAAAATGTTGAAATAAATAACTCACATATACTTTTTTTTATTTTTTCTTATTGTATTATAACAACTACTAACAACTACAATAACTAAGACAATTATACAATAAAATTATAAGTTATAATATTCATATCACAGGCAAATATCAATAAAGCACGCATTTCACATTTGATGTCATATTAGTGTTGATAATAATCCAACTAGAATATGAAAAATTAATAGGTATCAATTATTTTGTTTATTTATTATTGGTTAGATACATAATATATTGTTATATTGTGTAAGTTCTTTTATTTAATTATTCTCATATTACATTATCCAATGAGCATGAGCTTAATTTCTCAGGAAGCGGCAGTTTAATTTTCGGAATTTTAATACCTTCCCAATCACCCTGAAAATTATAAAAAATAACATGAATGTATTAGATGCAGCAGAATCTAGAAATGTTGATGAAATAAAAACATATATAATTCAACGCGGATAAATATAAAATAAAGAAAATTCAGAACTTGGTCTCTTATATTTAGAGACCTAATTTTTTTCTTATACTTTCTATTCTTAAGTTATACGTATATCCATCCCGTTTAAATGTATTGCATTACCTGTTTCAGGATATTATGTCTCGCGGTTTGTTCCATAGGGTGTTGTAAATTGTAACAGGTCATTTATTTAACCGTATAGTATAATTTCGTCAATTTTACGAATAGGTACTTAATTCATCAGATCAGACTATAGTCCACCGCGCTGGCCAAGTGCAGTTGGCAGGCTTCACATGTCTTTCGAAAACTTGTTACGAACGATAAACGACGTTTTCCTACACCGTAAGACAAGTGGTAATAATGTTGAAAATGATTCGCACATGAAAATAACAGAGGTGCGAGACCCGGCATTTGAACCCGCTTCATTCGGTTACCCAAGCGAGCGCGTTACCACTGGGCGACCACTGCCTACGTAATACTTCATACTCATAGTCATTTCATATCAGAAGCTATTAATGATTTATTTCGACATGATACTGTGTTTAACTTCGTAAAAAATTCATTTTCATAAGATGTCCAATGCTATTTACTTTTGCTTTTGTAATAGTCTGCACTTTCGTCAGTTGGTATCTGTTTTCATGGCAGTCTCTCCTACACGTTTCGTTTTTGAAAGCCCCCCTTATTATGAGCTCACATATTTTCACTTAACATAAAATTTCCAAACCATTTATTTACTTAGTCATACAATACGAGTTTTTGTATGTATGTGTAGTCACTGTAGTGTATTGTTTAGTAAATAGGTCTCAAATCAATTTTTAATGAAACTAAATATGCCAACTACATAGACAAACATGTAGGTACGCGTTTTATATATTTCCTTTAACGTCTTCTTTTCGTCTTACCTTTAATATAAACATTAGACGCGAACATGTTTGTCTATTTAGATATAATTTTACCTGGAATCGGTTTCCATCAGATTTATTGCATTGCATTGAAATAGTTGATTCAGTATACAGTGTATGTAATGCTTTAGCTCTTAAAGGAGTCCAAGGTTTGATAGCCAAATAATTGGCGCGAGGTGCCGCTGTGAATGATATGGATATATTGTCCCATCTAAAAATATCGGGTTAATGTTATTTGGAATCGCGCATTGAAAATCCTATATAAGTTAGAAAACACAGGCTGTGCAAAAATTAAGGAACTATGTTTTCTTCTGCATTAACAAATAAAATTTACACCAAAAACAATGGAACGTGAAAAATAATTTCAATGAGGAGTAAATTTTAAAGTAAAAAAATAATTTTTTCTTACTTTTTTTCAAATTTGAAATAATCTTCTAAAGCTTTATTAGAAACAGCACTTTTGCAAACTTCAAGTTCCGTGGCCGGGTAGTAGTGCATATAGTTGACGCACATCTCGTCGGTGATGGCGTGACCACCGATTGTAGCATTTTCTTTATCTTTTGTATTGTAAATACAAGTTGTCTCTAAGTAATCGCCCTTAAAAATAGAAAATATTATGATATAATGTATTTGGCATCCTTAATTATTGAGCAGCTTTTACTACAGATTGCTACAGATTACGAGGTCTGGGATTCGACACCTGGTCCAGCCAAAATTTATTTTAAAATATACTCAGTATTTTAGGAGTTATGAAGTTAGCGGAATTGCAGCGGTCCGCGATCCATCCAATAAAAAGCATATCTCACGTCTCTCCCGTGTCTATTTCTAATTACCATTCAAAAGAGAGTACATCTTACATAGATAATAACTTACAACTAGATGGCAATTGTTTTAATAGGCTTCGTGACTAACCCGGGGGAGAAGCCAACTCCTACCGGGCGCGTCCCCAGGTGGCGGATAGGGGAATGCCACCCGCTTAGGGCGGCGGGTGGTACCGGAGAAATCCGGCGCGGACCAAATGGCTTGGATGGGGCCGCTCGTCTAGGCCTCGAGCCGAAGACGTTGCGGCCACCGGTGGTGGGACCGCTTGGTCCCACAACCGGATGATGGGTGCCGGTTGCGGGACTGTGGTCGCAGGCCCGCATCCGGCGGAGGGGTAGGCCGCGGCGGGAGAGGAGTGCCGGTATTTCGGTGCGCCGTTCTCCCTACCTTCCGCGGCCTAGACGGGGCCGCCACCGTTTGATGGCGGACGCGGTGGGGCTGCAGGGGAAGAGGAGTGTCGGTGTTTCGTTGCCGCTCTCCCTGTCCTCTGCAGCCGATTGGAGGTGGCCCACTTCGGTGGGCGGTGGTTAGGTTTAATGGGGCTGCTCCGGGTACCTCTCTGGCGTAGCAGAGTTGACTGTGGAGCAGCCCCATCGGTTTGGTGGTCTGCCTAGCGTTTAGGCAGACCTGCCGCCGGGGCGCCGTAGTAGTTATGCGCAAGCGATCCTGCGGCGTCCCATTAAGGCGGAGGGGAGGGGAATGTCGGGTTATAAAAAAAAAAGGCTTCGTGACTAAAAATCGGTTAGCATGATATTAATATAAAAGGACCTATAATTTTATCTAATATCTTCCTTGAAAGCCTTACAGGAAGTATTTTAACTGGTCGGTGTAATATCCTTATTTCCTGAAAGTGTGTAGAGTAATGCATGTCTTTATTGAGCACAGGCAGCTCTGCCCCTTGCCGGGAGTGTCGAGTCCATACTGCGACTCCGGTGAGATGAGTGTGCAACTGACTGCCGAACACTATGATACCTTCTTCAGGGAGACCCTGAAGAAAGACAAATATTGTAAAACACAAAATAACATAATGTCAAAATAGTTGGCTATATACATATATCTGTTGATAGTTTTGTTCGTGTAAAGTTTATTGTGATTTACCTAAGTATTAAAATTGTTTTGAAGAGATAATATTACAAAGAAATAAGTCATAAGTTTTTAATATTGCCAATATGTTCGTTTCATTGCCAATCATATTTGTGCCAATTTCATCGAATAAGTATACTTGTACTAGTACAATTTTTTATTTCATATACCAGAGTAGTTTTGTCAAAAGTGTATTCTAATCAAAAACCGTTTAAGCTTACCACTCCAGTACACTGTGGTATGCAATACCCTGTCAGTGGGAATGCTTCCTGTCCTCCCGGAATAGCCATTTTATCAGTGTACTCCAAACCTAACTCCATGATTGCAGCGTCGTATTTCCGTCGGTTTCCTGTTATATGAAGAATTATGCCGGAACTGTCCACCCAATCTAAAAAAAAAATATTATCCACACGATGTTTTCTTAAAGACACGTAATGTAGGATAGTCATATAGTTTGATTTTGAAAATTAACTTTTCGAGCGATAATAATTATAGACAAATTTTATCTGACTTTATTTGCTATATATTAAAAAGATGAATTTATAATACAATCTTTAATTTAAATAAGAAATAGTTTCTAATAAATAAGACTTTATTATTTACGATAGGATATTGATCAAGCTCGCGCAAGATTAATTAAAAACGATTTTGTAAGTGTTAATTACCGTTTCTCAATTCAGGATTATTATAGTGTACTTCTAGCATGAGGTATTTATTCGCTCTCGGTCCCCCCAAAGGCAGTCCCGCCTCATCTGGGTATGTAAAAGGGGGAGCCCCCATCGCCCATGCTGCTTTCACCTTTAAAATTTAATATCCATTGTCATTTAAATTAATAGATATTTTCTGAATATACCTTTCAAAGCACGCGGAGCCACAGGTGGCTCGGTTAATAATTAATTTCTTAGAATTTAACCGCGAGGTGTTAATATTTAGCAATCATTAATCTTTTTAATATTAACAGACCTTTGAACAAACTTTTGTCGATTCAGGCCTTTTTGATGAGAAGCAGTTGCCTTCGTACATAGAAATCTCTACATTAGGATCAGCGTCGCAATAAAATACTTCCATGTGGTGTACCAGCCCTTCATTACCTTTGGTTATTGTTGACTCAAACTGAAATAAGCATTTTTTTATATATGAAATTATAGAAATTAGTGTTTATAAAGAATAAACATAATTTATATACAGCTTATTAAAAAAAACCTTGACAATATGATGAACTGTTTCGGTAATAAAGTCCGGAATTCTGACCACTTTACACCAGTACGTGGTGTCACTTCCTGGGACTTTTAGGTCTCTGTTGTTTATTCGCAACTGCTGTGCGGGCCGCTGCGGCGAGGACGGTGGAGTTAAAAGTCTGACGCGAATAAATCCGTGATTGTATGGCGAAGTACAAGTTATACAAAGGCCTTGAGAAGAAAATAGTTTGTCGTCGCCTCTTGCCCACACGACATGAACAGTTCCATCCTGGAAAATAATTGTTTCCAATGAAAATTTTGCTCTTTTATTGTATAAAAATTAATCCAATAAGAGTTATGCAACTCAAAGTCTCTTTACAACGATTCCTGTTCTAAAAAGTAAATTACACATATAATCAAATTTTAATTTTACCTCTATAACATAATCATCTCTATCGCAAGTATCAAAAGAGCGTTCAAAAACGATACTTTTGCTTTTAGAATCTACATGGAAATTATCGCAGTTTTGGTGAATATCGCGAAACAATTTGCCATTGTTATCGGCATGCATATCCTGAAAAAAAGGGCAAAGGAATATTTAAAAATAAATTAACAAAAGTAAAGAAAAAATGATTTAATTTAACATAATACACTTAAATAAAATATGTATTAGTTTCATTTCACCTCGAAATGGTCGCGCCTTGTGTAATCGGTCCAAACCAGGCAGATATCAGAATTTTCCAAGTCCCCTCTATCGGAAAATCCTAGAGCAAACCAGTTGATAGATGGAGCTTTATCGGAAAACTTTACTTGAAATTGAATTATCTGAGCAACATAGTCCACCCGCCATTTCAGCGTCAGGAGCCCTTTAGGATCTAGCACTGATTCACTTTCGGCGAATTGTTGACCTACATATAGGAATATAGAGAAAAAATTTGAAATGTCAAGCCACCGAGCTCAATATAGAGACATAGGAGAGGCTTATGTCCAGCAGTGGACGAAAGCAGGCTGATGATGATGATTTTATGTTTAACTTTATTATCTTATTAAGTTAGAGAATATAAAATTTTGAAAATAATTTTTCTACTGAATGCATAAATTATTAATGAAGTATCTACTTAAAATAAAATAGACAATCTATACGTGGTCAGTTTTCATTATAGGTAAATATACCTACTGTAAGAAATATAAGCATTAAGCACCTCAAGATAAGATTTTAGAAATTGTAAATTTAAATCTGCTTACCTCTCATATGATGTATTGATAATGAATAATGATAATAAATTATAGATAATAATATAGTTAACACACACATTACTTTCATTGTGTCTTTATCACATTAAGTTTTTACAAAGACTAGACGAACGCTTTCTTAGAGAGCTGGAAGTGTAATGGGAGAAGTCTTTAACTCGGGGAACGAGAAGACTTCACGCCGTGCCATCCGACCTTTATGAAGTTCGAAATATTGAGATAGCTATGTTTAAAGTACAGTCGCATGCAAACGTTTTCAAACTAAGTAATACAGGTAAAAATACATCAAGCTGTTATGAGATTTGGAAACTTACTAATGATTGACTTAAAAGTCGAGGACATAAACGAATATTTTATATTTGTTAAGCATCCTAACTAATTTCAAATATTTTCTATGAAAGCGGCCGAATATGTAATGAAACTATATAGCGTGTTTAGAAAAATTAGGTACTTAGTAACTCAACTGCGACATAGTGTCAGTTTAAGAATGGTGTAATATGCTTAAAACCTACTATATATATAACCTAACTGTTCATTATAAATAATAAAACCCAAAAATTTAAACAGTTATAAAATAGTTTAAAAACTAATAGATGTCCGTAATAGATTTATTCCATCTTCGCAACTGTGTGTGATTGTACTTGAAATTTTTCCATGATCATTAAGCACATATTAATAAGGGAATATTTGCGGCTCGGTGTAGGTCTCAATGCAAGACGCGGAATGCTCCCGATGGGCTCTTTATTAAATTCCTCCCGAATGACTGCGCGCACCGCGCTAAGCCGCCTTAAGCCTAGTTCGCATTAAGCTAGTATTTTAGTCTAGTAGCGAGTAATTTAGTAACTAAACGTGTCTGAACACTCAAAATTTAGTCGATTAGTTTAGTAAGTAATTTAGTCGAGTCAATCCATTTTATTCTATTTTTTTGGGCGAGTAGCAGCCCCCACCACGCGTCCGAGCTCACTGGTTCACCGGCTAAACAAGTACGAACCTGTCAAATTAGTCGAGTTCATTAGTTGCCGCCATAATGTCGATTCGCTGGAGCGAAGAAATGACTTTTAAATTTGTTTCGAAATATGTTGAACACGAATGCTTGTGGAATATTAGGTCCTTGCATTATAAAAACAAGCATATGAATTACAAGACATCCCGCGAAAAGAAGAAAACATTCCGCAAACTTAGATTTGGAAAAAATAATGAATATACCCGGATTTGGCGAAAAAGAAATTAAAATTAAAAAAATCAGGTTACTTTTCATTACTTTATTTCAAAAGCATATGTATGTATTTATTTAATTAATTAATTAGAACGGTAAAAATTTCCTCATCCACCTCTTCTAAAATAGCCGTTACGATAAGCTTAATCAGTTTATTTACTTTATTGCGTTGTAGGCTGTTCATCTTGCAAAACACCACTCAACACACTTGTAAACTGTACTCGACCAAAGTGCGAACGATTTTTGGTGAGTAGCGAATAATTTAGCTACTAAATTACTCGCTACTAGACTAAAATACTAGCTTAATGCGAACTAGGCTTTAAAGCCGCATTCCATTAATTTCAGCTTTAACGATCATACCTAAATTCGATTTGTGGAAGTTTTCGATAAATATTTAATTTTTATAAATTTATGAATAACTAGCATTAGACGCGTCTCTGTCCGCGTTAAAACGATTATATACCAAACGTTTTTGTATATTGTAGGGAAATTGTAAAAACCGTTAAATTATAGTTTCACTAGTGAAACTATAATATAATTGCTCGGTGTTTGGTCAATCGTCTTCTTTTCTTACAATATTACGGGGCAATGTTAGGTATATCATAGTTTGACTAAAAGTTGGTGGGGGTTGGCAATGCCATAAGGTGTCCCACCTTGAATCTCTTATTTAATTTAGTAATATTGCAATTTTATTTTAACATTTATAGTAGCTACTACTATACTTCTATACTAATATTATAAGGAGGAAAGATTTGTTTGTTTATTTATTGATATAAAAGTTTATATCTTTTAAACAATATATAAAACTTTTTACTAATAGACTAATAAACAATATATATAACTTTTTACTAATTGTTGCTATTGTATGAGTAGGTAATATTTAGCTGATTATTATCGCCCAAAGAATCGGCATTGCCATTCAACGGGGGAATGCGGCTAGCATTCTTGCCACTATTCGTCGAATCTGTACATTAAATATTTCTTGGAAAATCTTATTGAAATAAACATTATCGATACAGAAGCCGGCCGAATCTATACTTTTAGAATTTTTGTCTGTCTGTTACCGCAGCACCACTGGAGGGATTTTGATGAAATTTGGTATGATGATAGCTGGTTAGCCGTGTCAACATATAGGATTTTTACCGCGGGAAAATATCTGATTTCTGAGAAAAAATACTAAAACTATATTGTAAGAGTATACTAATATGTAAAACCTAAGAAATTGGTTTTTGGTCATCTGAACGCGTGCGGAGCCGCGAGCAATGCTAGTTTTAAATAAAACTATCTTTTCGGATTTTTTCGTGGATTTATTTTTATTTTTGGCTCCCGAAGTATATATGTACCAAATATCAAAATCCGCGGAAAAAAACCAAAAAGATAGTTTTATTTAACATAGGTAGGTACATGTTTAATGTACCTATAGATCCAGCTTAGTTATAATTTTATTATGTGTATAGATAGATTTGTTTAAAAAGTCAACTTTTGAGTTTAAACTGAGCCGTCGATTGAGTGTATTAAAAAACCGCTAACGAATATAGTCTAAGGCTGGTCATACACGGCAGCTTGAAGTAGCTAGTACCGACTGCTTCAAGCTGCGACCACATAGCAAACTAGTCTTCTATGTACACACATACACGAAACCGCTCAAGCAGTTGCGGCTGCTTCAGGCGGTTGTCAGCGCGGTGATTTGAAATCAAAAGCTGTTGATTATGGCTGCAAGAGCGGTCCGCGTTGATGACTGGCTAACTGCTCGAGCAGTCCGTGTATGGCCGACGTACGAATGGCGACCTTACTACATCACTTCCAATTTTATGAACTAATATAAAAAGTTTAGTAGTTATCTTGTAATATTGTAAATTCTCTTACTTTACACTTTTCGTGCATTATTTAAGCGTCTTTCTTTTTTCATTTCAAAATTCACAAACAAAAGGTAAATTAAATGGGTCGTAAAAATACGAATGGTTTAAATATAATGATTTATTTTTAATATATTTATGATATCATTAACAACAGTATTGTATATATATTATGAAGCATTTGTGTCAGATGCCTGTACAGGTAAAGTGTCATTATTTTCTTCTGCAGTGTCATTAATTCCATCTTCTTTTCCTTGCGTTTCTGGAATATCAGCCTCTTCCGAGCCAGACGGAGCCTAAGAAACACAATAATAATACAACTTCATCTTAAAAGTATTCAATTAAAAAGAATCTTTAATTATCCATACAAAATATAATTTAGCTAGCTTACAATTTTCTTTATTCTACGCACTTTTTCTTGTGTATTAGAAAGAAAGAGTCGAGTTTTATATGGTTTGGTTCTTTTGCTCATCGCCTACATTCTCATACCATTGGATGACACATTTGGCTCAGTCTGTAGTGCTTGCTGTGCCAGCGGTCGCGAGTTCAAGTCCAACTGGGGAACTCATTTGTGTGATGAGCACGAATGTTTGTAATCCAGTCATAGGTTAAACGGCCATATTTAATTATAGTATGTATGTATTAAAGTTATATATGTGTAGTGTATTAACTATCTGGTATCCATAACACAAGCTTCGTAGCTTACCATGGAACTAGATGTTGCTGAGTATTAATATCCCAACATAATAAAAAAATATAAAAACCGACTTCAAACAAAAGCACTAAAAAGTAAAAAATAACTGATTGGTAGTTTTCATTTACTATACATACTATACTAGTTTTCGAAATGAAAACTACCAATCAGTTATTTTTAATTTTTAGTGCTTTTGTTTGAAGTCGGTTTTTATTTTTTTGTTAAAAAGTTTTTATTTTTCCCTTTTTAGTGTAGACAGTAGTAGCAAAGTAAAGATTCTAACGTGTTAGGCTTGTCAAATCAAACAAAATAAGCCCAAACTCAACGTATCTACTATTAGCCGTTGGAGAGTTCCACCTATCCATCTTCTGGCCTTGACATCAGATCAGCTCAAAAATACCGAACCACTGTACTATCAACGGAAATAGAAACACTTGCAAAGTTTCAAGTCAATATGACAATTAGAAGTAGGTTAAATTCATCATTAGCTATTTTTCCACCCTTAGGAGTGGTATTTTTTTTGAAATTTAAATGGGACCAATCTGAAAGTATACACTTTCAAACAACACAAAAGTTGTCCGTTAATAAATGCCGGAGTTCTGAGGTAACCAACATAAAAAAATACAGTCGAATTGAAAACCTCCTCCTTTTTGAAGTCGGTTGAAAATTTAAATTAAAAATAAAACAAATCACGCATTTTACATAGTGTATGTCATAACATACCTCTCTCTCGAACAAAACAGCGAGCTCCACGTGCCTGGTGTGAGGGAACATGTCCACGGGCACGGCCCGGACGGGGGCGAAGGGGGACCCCCTCAGGGTCTTAGATGAGGGGCGAGAGAGGTCCACGAAGTTCTTAACAGCGGATGCTGGGCTACACGAGATGTACACCAGCCGTTTTACCCTCTTCGTATTGCGTAACTGTGTTATTGCTCGCATGTCTGGAAGTAATGAATGAAATTTTATTGAATTAGCGACTCACCCTCGCTTCGCTTGATTCCCAATACAAACTTTGATCCCTTAAAAAAGTCCTTGTCGACGTCACAAACTCACAAAATCACAAACTTTACCTCTTTATAATATTATTTATTCGTATAGATGAAAACGGGCAAAGTGTCACACTTTTTTATTTGCTATATATACCCTTCGATACAAAAAGTACTACACGATCAGCGACAAAAAATGTCCTCACAGAATGAGCGCTCATTTGAATTTTTTTTTGTAAAAACAATTTTAAGCATTGCATTTAAGGTCCAATTTGCATTGTTGTATATTTATTTCAACTAGAATAATTACCTAAATACAATTGGTGACAGTTTAAAGATAAATTTTGCATGGGATTGTGTATAGTTCTAGTGTTTTTTTGATCGATGGCTACACCTAAAGGTTGCCTTGAAGACATGGCTGTTTTAGGAATATGGCCGCCTCTTGTGCATTTTTTTTTGTATTACTTCAATTCTTTTGCTTCACTAAAGTCACTTTGTGTGTAATAAAGTACATAATAAAGAGTTTTTATTATTGAAGTAAAACTTCTTTAGGCGTGACTGAGGGGTAAGTCAATACATTGGAAAAATTAATGTCACGATAGTGAGAGTTGAATTTCTTATTCATAATTAAAGAAAATATATATATTTATATTATTTTTATAATAATATTACTTATAAAAGTTTATATTTTTTATTAATATGTATTTATTTTAGTTTAATTATCCCTTAAGGTGGTGAAAATGGGGATGAAAGTTAGCATAGGGAATCAACCAAGGAAGGAAGGACGAACCCGAGCAAAGCGAGGGTAAGTCGGAGTCATATACAATTTTGTTTGACAGTCGGGAAATAGCTATAGGGTTGATGGGTATTTTCATATTAACAAAATGATTAAAATATTAACCAATATATGCTGAACTTACGTAATCCAGCCCTAGGAGGGTCAACAATAGCAATGATGTCCTCGCCCGAGGCCCGCGCGAGGACGGAGGGCAGGATGTCCTCTGCCTTGCCAGTGAAGAACTCACAGTTCTCAATGTTGTTTAACTCTGCATTTGATTTGGCGTCTTTAACCGCTTCTGCTACCAGTTCCAAGCCGAGGACTTTTTCGCAGTGCTGTGGGAAAAAATAATTTTATAGTTTCATAAAGTACCATTTAATTATTGGCTTTCACTAAAATAGTACATAAACTTCGAAATCACTTAAAATATTCATCTACCCATAATTAAAAAAAAATCTTGAAATTTATATTGGACCACACTTAGTTGTATAAACTGTTTATATAACCTTAGCAAAACACAGCCCGATGGTGCCGGTGCCGCAGCATATGTCCACTACTGTAGAGTCTCTTTGCACTTGACTCATGTCGATGGCGCTCTGGTACAGAATTTTTGCTCCCGCTGTATTTATCTACACAATACAAAAGTATTAATGATTAAATTAGGGTCCATATAAGGAAGACATTTTGAAGTTTTAAATAGCAAAGATAGTCTTTAAAGTACTAATTCAGATATCACCACAAGGGACTCTTGCAAAATTTTTATAAATAATAATGGATACCAAAAAGAATTATAGCTAAAAGATTTTAGGAAATAAAACACTTTTAGATAAATAGTACATATAAAAATTATAAAGTAATAAATAAAACTAATAAATAATTATTCAATGGCAACACAGTAAATTGCTCGCTTGAGAAACCAAGTGAAGCGGGTTCAAATCCCGGGTCTCGCACCTCTGCTATTTTCATGTGAGAATCATTTCCAACATGATTAACTCTTGTCTAACGGTCAAAGAAGACCTACAAGTTTGAGAGCACCTAGCAAGTTTTCAGAAGACATATGTAAAGTCCACCAATCTGCACTTGTCTAGCTTGATGGACTATGACTTGATCCCCTTTTTATCGAAGGAAGGCCCGTGCCCAGCAGTGGGACATTAAAAAGTGCTGACTACAAGTAATTATACCTGAAAAAACGCCTCCGCCGATATCCTAAACTGCCTGCCGAGTATCGCGTCCACTATATGCGTGTCGCCCAGCAAGTGAACCGGCTTGGACCCGTCTTCGCCTACCCTCCTATAATTGTAAGAAATTTTCTTTAAATATTTAATTAGTTAAATTAACCGGCTCCTAAAATAAAAGTTACTAAATTCAGATGTATGAATCTTCGGAAATTGTAAACACATTTTTCATGATTTTTATGAGTACCATATAAACAAAATAAATCCTATGAAATTGCGAAAAATTATTTTTCATAAACCTAAATTGAGGTTGTACCTTTAGATTTACTCAACTCTATGAAATAAACTATTTCCTGTTGTAGAACAGGTATGAACAACATTCAGATTATTCTGTATGTATAATAATTAGACTTTATAGTTTAAAATTAATTTGGCCCTTATTACAATTCAAAAGAAAATGTTAATTTTATAAAGTAACATTACAATACTTGCCTTTTAGTTAATAGTTCAAAGTACAATGACTTAACGCCACATGCAACAGCTTCTTCTGAACTGAAGTGTTCCACTAACTGTCTCTTAAGTTCTTCTAATTTTTCTTCTGTTAAATCCTTAGGAAAAATAATGTTATGAACTATAATCATCGATTAAAAAAGTACTAGATACACAATCCCATACAAAAGTTCTCTTAAAATCGTCACGAATTGAGTTTAGTTAATTATTCTAGTTGACATAAATATACAACAATTTAATTTAAGCCTTAAATGCAATGTCTAAAGTTGTTTTCACAAAAAAAAAACGTTTAAATTAAAAGCGCACTCAAATGTTCAAATTAGCGCTCATTCGGTGAGGACATGTTTTGTCGCTGATTGTGTATCTAGTACTTTTTTGATTGATAATTATGATACATTAAAAGGCAACAAATGTATAAACAATCTCACTCATATTTGTTTTATTAGTAAGATGATAAGTTAAATGAAATTGTGTAAACCTGTGGATGCATTGCAATGATCAGCATCAAATCTCCTGAATACGTAGACTCTCTCACAGTGAGGTACCTCCAAAAACCAGAATAATCTGCTGGTGAAAATGGCGTCATATCCGATTTTCGAACAAATTCTTGGAATAACTAAAACAAAAAGTGAACAATGACTTTTCAAATAATATATTATTAATATTAATTAATGTTTATATTATATAATACATTTTGTAGCTGTTTTTTATTTATTGACTAATTAATTATAAATAACCCTAGAAAAGTTTATGATATCTATGATTAATCAATCAACAAATTAATAGGTATTTTAGCTTGGATTTGCCAAGCTAAAATACCTATTAATTACAATTTGTAATGCAGTAGCAACAAAGGTTACATACAAGAACAGCCTTCTTTGTCTTTTCAGGTATATGTTTCATCCCTGCGACTGATGCCACACCTACAGTACCAGTTACATAGCTGCCCAGTCTAAAACCAACAGTAGGATTTTTTGTTTCCTCGTCTATTCCAACTGTGAATTCACACTTGTTCCTATAACCTTCAGTTACAGGGGACTTTTGTATAGGCTTTACTTCAAAGCTTACTCCATTATACAATTTTCGATTAGACTCAATTGTGCTTCTTTTATCTTTATAAATCTTCCAAATTTCATTGTCAAATTTCATCAGCAACTGTTTTATTTCATTTTCTTTTAATTTGAGCTGAAAGAGTAACATAATTATTATTGACTTATAACATTTGCTCAATAAATAATTGTCGCTGAAGGGCATCTGTGAAGATAAAGATAAGCTTAATAGGATTTGTTATTTTAGATAATACTATCTTTTTGAATTTTTTCACAGATTTATTTTGATTTTAGGTTTCCGATGGATAAACCCACAAAAAATATATATTCAAAAAGATGGCTTTATTTAAAATTTAAAATATTTGCATAAATCTAGGAAAGGATTATAGTACTTGCTATGTATAAAAAGAAACAATATGTAAAAAATAAAAAAATATTTAAGGCATTAAACATTTGCACATAACAAAAGCTCTTAATAAAAATTAATGCACTTCACATTCAATTCCTGCTCATTTCTATATATGTAGTTATGAACTGCCTCGGTGGTATAGTGGCTAGCATGTATGGCTGCACACTCGGAGGTCCTGGGTTCGAGTCCCGGGTCGGGCCAAGTTTAGTTATTGAGTCTTTCTCTATAGTGAGCCTCAGTAACAGCCCGGAGTTGGGAAGTTGGCGGTATTTCACCCCGATGCCTCGGAGAGCACGTAAAGCGGTCCTGCGCCTTAACTCTCACTGGTCGCATTGAGCATTCGTCCCACCGGAGTATGAGAGTGACAGGAATAGAGAGTGCACTTGTGTCTGCACGTACACTTGTGCACTATAATATCTCCTGCGCAGTTGGCTAGTGTCAATGAGATTGGCCGCCGTAGCCGGAATCAGCTAGGAGAACATGTTATGATAATATTATATCTTCTATATAAATAAAAATGAATGTTCATATGTTTACAAAGTATGCATTGCTAAGCCATTGATCCGATTGTGATGAAACTCTCATGGGTCTTTTTATACACCTGTGAAGGTTCCTGGTGCAAAAAAAATAATTTTTATTTGGACATTTGTCTTTTATACCTACCTAAACTATTAAATCTCAGAGCAATGCAAGGATAAGTATAGTATAAGAAATATATAATATAATAATAAGTAAAAAAATTCATTACCTGCTCTTCATAAGGCATATTCCAGTAAGGTATAACAGCATCTTTCAACCTTTCTTCTTGACTTTTATTTTCATTCTCTTTCTTTTTCTTAAGTTGTACTGAGTCTTCCTCCTGTTTTCTCTTTCTTACCAGTGGATCAGGTGCTGGTTTTGCTATTTCAGCTATTAATGTCTTTCCTATAAATAGTATTTGTTTTATAATAATTAACAAAGTAGTTCTTTTTTGTAAATGCAATTATTTTTATGAAATCTTTACCATATAAAATTACTTATTTTTCCATTTAATCCCAATAAAAAATATGCAATGTAATTTGTTGTACCTTTCCATGAATAACCATTTAACGCAGCAATGGCTTTAGTACGCTCTTCATCATTTTGGAAACAAGCAAACAACCAATGACTGCCGTTCTTTGGTCTCTTGATTTTACTTGTATTTAACCCAAGTTTTTGATTCATTAATTTTTTTAATTCCTAAAATATACAAAATGTTAATAAAAAAACCTTATGTATTTAATATAAACTAATAATGTTTCATTCAAAAAACAGATCAAATTCTTACTGCTATTCCATAAAATTTTGGTAATCCACGAACTTCGATTTTAAACTTTTCCGAAGAAAATCCGCCACGATCTAAATAAGCGTACTCTTCATTAGTATTTGTATTTAAAGTATTGTCCACCTTTGTTTCAGTGTTATTTTCTTTATATTCTGACATTATCAGTAATGTTAAAAATTTATTTACTTTTTCCCACGTCTTTAGTACTCAAACTTAACTTTTATTTGTCTTCCATGAACTTAACAAGTGTGAAGTAACAACAAATTTTAAGGTTAACTAGACCAGTCAACGTGACATTGACTTTTTATTTTTTATGATGCTAGAGATTTTTATTTGTCATCCATGCTAGAGATGTACTGGATTTTATATGTAGCAATATACTCTATGACTGATTCGTTAAAAATAAATATTCGCGGATATGTACGGATTCTAATTATCACCTGGCCTTTATCGGATACGTACCTATCTCAAATTTTGTCCGAAATACGAAAAAAATCCCAGCAGCAGCTGGTGTGCGTTTGGATCGCGATTACTTTGAACATATTTTTTAAGATAACTAGGTTTTACAATATCATATTTTTATAAGATAAATATAGTAAAACTAGTGACCATCCTCGCTTCGCTCGGGTTCATCCCTAATTCCCTATGTACGTTTTAACGGTTAGTATGGAATAGATAGACATATATTATATATATATACATAAATATGATTGGTTGTTGTGGATGTGGGTTGTATCATAACGTGTTTTCCCGTGGCAATGAGACCATCTCCCGTGGTATAAAGTAGCCTATGTAACTCTCCAGCCCTCTAACTATCTCTACACAAAAAAACACGCCAATCTGTCACTCTGCTTCGACGTGAAAGAAAGACAAACAAACAACTTTCATATTTATAATTATATTAGTATAGTTACATATAGTAAAAAGTTACTTTATTGGTCAAAGTTAGTTTTTCGTCTATTAAAGAGTACTATTACTACCTGTATGCAAAAAGTAAGAAGAAGGAATCTTCGAGTACTTATCAGTTATCGCATGGTAGTATCTTCTATAATTCAAATTAGTAAATTAAATAAAATTATGTACATAACAGGTATCCACAGTATGGGTTAGTGTATTTTTATGAGTTTGGGTCAATAAAAATTAAAAGAAATTTATGATTTTATTTATTAGTTATAAATTAACATTATTAAATATACAATAAAAATTTAATTAATTTAAATAAATTAACTTAGTGGAAGATCACATTTATTAGTTTATGTTATAAACATATATATGAGGTATTGAAAGAAAATTATTATGCTATAATTTTAAGTAAAATAAATTAGTACTTTTTTCTCATATTTTAATAGTGCATTAATTGCTATCATATTTATGTAAAAAGAAAATTAAATATTTTTCTCTTTTCAAAGTATAGTGCGGCTATGAATATTTATTTTCAGGAACAAATAAGTGTTTCAAATAATTTTTATCTTGTTCCGTTTTCTCTTTCCTTAACTGCTTAATGTTTTCTAATTCCTTATCTATAATTGATGCCATAGTTGGATCAAGAGACTTCAGTGTTTTAAAATCTTCCTCAGCTGCATCTGGATTCCAGGCACCCACGTGTGCTTTAGCTCTTCTATATAATGCTTTTTCATTATCTAGAAAAAAAAATTCAACAAATGTTTAAGGGTTACCACTGTTTGACATAATTTTTCAGTAGTTCTCATTTTTTCTATTTTATCAAAGCAAATATAAATGCATATTTTATTCTTAAGTGAAAATTATTTATTAATAATTAATGATTTCCATTAACTTCAAATAATATATTTTCATTACTAGGGTTTTAAAACCTAGATGCATTAAAAGAGATTGCAAAGATATATAGAAAAGAATTAAAAATTTCAGTTGTATACAGGGTGGAACGAATCGATGGGACATGGAAGAAAAGTATCTTAAATATTGAAGATTCACTCAAAGGAAACATTTGTTTATTTCTTAAAATAATAATAAATGCATTTTTTTGAAAAAAAGCTTACCTGAACCGGGAATCAAACCAAATAAATGCAAAAAAGGACACAATCACTATTTTATCAATTTAATCGATAGGGTCTATAGGAAGGATAAAATTTCTCAAACAAACATTGCGTCTTTTTGGCGTTCAGTTAAGCTTTTAAAAAAAATAATAATAATAATTAAATACAGTTATTATTATTTTTTAAACTAAAGAAATGTTTTCTTTGAGTAAATCTTGATAACTTCAATATTTAAGGTACTTTTCTTCCATGTCCCATCAACTTGTTCCACCCTGTATAACAATACCTTTTTCATATTCCAGAACAGTGTTACAGTGTTCTATGACTGCATAGTATTCTCCTTTAACTAATTTGCATTGAGCAAAGTTAAGAAGAATTGGAAGTTTTATTTTATTTAAACTTATCCATTCATCATCACATTTTCTCTCTCTGAAAAAGTTTATTAGATAAAGTAATATAGTGTACATCTATGCGGATAAAAAAAAATTGAGGTGTCTGTTTGTAATGTTAAAATAACAGCTTTTTACTAAATGCATATGAAATTATGTACATTGCATATAAGAAAAACATAATTTAAAAAGATTTTGTCTGTCTGTGCTGGCCAATCTCCAAAACAGTTGGACAGATTTTAATGGGACTTCACTGGCAGATAGCTGATGTTATAAGGAGTAACTTAGGCTATAGTTGTTTTCCTCCCCAACGTGCGTTCACCTTGTCGTGGCGGGGGGCTCAGTAGTGCAGGCAATACAGCCGGGCGCGAAGCCAAGAAATGCACACGGAGGTGGCCCACGGTGGGCGGTGGGAGGCGGCCTTCTTCGGAGGGCGGTGTACCATGCGAGTTGCTCCTGGTACTTCCCTGATAGCAGAGTGGACCTTGGAGCAACCCTGTGGTTGTTGTGGTCTGCTTCGGCAGACCTGCCGTCGGGGCGTCGTAGTTGAATGTGTAAGCTGTGATCCTGCGACGCTCCATTAAGACGGGGGAAGGCTTTGTTGGGTTAGTGGGTACTACTGGCTTTGCCGGTGAGTCCCACACCTCGTGCGTAAATGCATATCCCAATGTTAAAAAAAAGGCTACAGTTATTTTAGAAAAAGAATTATGGTTCTGCTGAAAAAACTAATTTGGTAAACTATAAGTTTAATGTTATATAATCAGTTTTATTTATTAGTACAGTTTAATTTTGTAAACTTTTGAATTTGTGAAAATTTAAAACTGAAATTATTAAAAAAGACTAATAGCAAATTCAATTGAAAATTATAGAAACCTTATCATTAGCTGTTCACAAATTGCTATAGCCTGAGTGTAAGCATCTTCTGCTTCATCATATAATTTTTGTCCATACAACTTGTTACCCTTTTCCTTAAGTTCAGGAACTAGTTTTAATCTCTCTTCACTGCTCAGCTGCCACAGTTCTTTTTCATATTCATTGGATGTTTCAACTTTTAATATTTCTATTAACAAAAACATATTTAAAGACCTTAAACTTATATGTATTATATAAAATACTTTTGATAGTTTTAAATTAACCTGCCTATAATAAATTCTAAGTCACAGGGATTATTAATCAATTCATCCAAATCAGGATATCCAATACCCTCAGTGTGCAATGTCATGGTACAAGTGTGTGTTCGTCTTTGCTCCTGACCTAGTTCACGGAGGGTCTTTGAAACAAATGGATAGCTATATATTAACTGCAATAAAATAATAAGTTATAGTACATATAGTAATCAAATAAGCAAATAAATAATCATAACGTTTTAAAATAAGATATAAACCTCTTTTTTTATTTGAAAACTTGCCACTTCTCCCACAGCCATCATTTTTACAATGGTCTCCCAAACTTCTAATTTGAATTTGTGTCCTATAACAAGTACCATTGGCTCTCTTTTACCAATTTTTCTACTATCATCTACTAAGATCCTTTCTTTTCCTAGCTTCCATGTTTGAAAATGAAAGTGTACCTGGTTTATAAATAAGATGGAAATAATGAATTAACGTATTTTTATTATATATAATTATATCTCTCTAGTTTAAAACTATAATACCTTACTTCCATCTACTATGGGCACATATTTTTGGCCTGTATGTATTACATTTTTTATAATCGGAGCTGTTTTACTCATTTTATTTAAAGTTAACACGCAAGTTTGATAGAAATTAGAATAAGATTATTGTTTATCGAAATTTTACACATTTGTTTTCATGATAAAATATGAATGATAACGTCAATACGTCAGACTTTGAGTTGCCACTTGCCAATACCGTTAATAAAAATTAAAAATGTTCTTTTTTCTTCCTGAGGTCGTTAAAAATGTGTATTACAAAAATGGTGTATTACCGCAAAGTTAAAAAAAAAGGTATAAAAACGCTAAAAAATGGTGTATTACAATACGGCATATTATAGAAAAAAAGCTTTTTGGGAAGTCTTATTTTACCCGAATCAATGGAATTAATCTATAAGTGAAAACGCTAGCAAAAATGTCAGTGACCAGTCCACTATCCAAGGTTAACTGATAAATAAATCTGTGTGCCATATACATAGAGTAAAGACTAAAAGGAAATAAAAATAATTTTAAATGAAAAAAATGGTATATTGACGCTATTAAATTAAATTTCGTGCTATTTTTACAAACACATTTTAAATATCAACTTTCATAATAGCAATCAAGTAACTATTAATTAATTTATTAATAGAGACAGATTTAACTAGACCGTTAGATGTTAGATGATGATGGCAATATTTAGAAAATATATTATTGTCTATGTTGCGACTTTTAGTGATTTCTATCAATTTCTATTCGTAGGCTTTCTTTTCTCATTTATATTTTGTATATGTAGTATTAAACTCTTTATTTAATTGTTAACTTTAGATTTAAGGTAACAGCAAGTTTAATTTATAAGTAGGTATGGCAGATTTTTTGGAATCTGAAGCAGAGGAGAGCGAGGTTAGTATAGTGAGAAACAATGCCCGTGTTTCGTACTTGATTACGACTACAAATTACTGTAATTAGTTCATCTAAGGAGATAAAAGTAAAATAATTTACACTTTTAATATTAGGTTGAGTCCGAAGATGAACAACCAGCGGAGCGTAAAAAGCCTAAACGCAAAGCGGCTGTACAAAGCGACGACGAAGACGAAGAGGAAGAAGGTTTGTGTCCTGTATCTTTATTAGAAAAGTGTTGAAAACTAATGTAAGATTGCTAAAGTAATGTTATTTAATTAACCATACTCTTATTATTACTTATTTACTTTACTTAGGATTTTTTTGTAAATATGTCAAGGTAAGTAGGACATCACAAATCGCTATGAATTTTTTTGTTCCCATTTGGTTCGTGTATGTGATTTTCCCTTGTTTACATAAAGTGAATGTTTTCAACTACCTATTACTAAAAATATATTAATAATATGTACTATAATATGTTGATATTATTATAACACGCTTGAACCATTTATAGATGATGAAGAGCGTCTTCGTGAAGAATTAAAAGATTTAATAGATGACGCACCTATAGAGGAATCAGGTAGTGATGGAGAAGACTCAGACGCTAGTGCAGGTCCAAAGAAAAGAAAAAAAAGTGATGATGAATTGGATGATAGATTAGAGGATGAGGATTATGACCTCATTGAAGAAAATTTAGGTGTAAAAGTAGCTAGAGTGAGTATTATCGTGTAAAAAGTATTTTTAATATTTCTAGAACTTTTTTTGTCATGATTAATCATTTTATATTTAGAAATCTAAAAGAAAAAATTCTTAGTTTTATGAGTCACCAACACTATCACTACCTTGCCTTGGAAAGTATTTATTATTGCCTTACAAAAAATAATGAATAATTAATAAAAATGATCAATATCAGATTAATTGATATTCATTTTGTTACCATTGTATGTGAATTGGTTAGGGTTATGTAGAAAATATATTTAATTAATCTATTTTGTATCTACAGAATAAGTTTAAAAGGTTACGTCGCTTAGAGGATGATGACAGTGACAATGAAGGTAATGATGATCCAGATTTGGAGAGAGAGGTTATCGCAGAAAAACTGTTTGTGGGTGGATCTGATGAGGTAATTCAATCTTGTATTTCATTTATTATTAAGTTACTACTTTGGTACAGTTAAATTTCTTTTTAAGATAACTTTATTTTATGTTGGCTCTTTTTAATGAACACTCAATATAAAGTTTGACTATAAGTTTATATTATTATTGGTTTCATTGTATATTTTGGCTTTGTTAAATAATTGTTTTACTTACCTTTCCAAGTCAAAAAGATTTTAAAAATGACTGCATATATTAATCATTATTATTATTACAAGTGGAACTAGGTTTTCTACTTTATATCAAATTAAATATGAAAGGATACCTTATAGGAAGATGAAAACCGTTCAGAATCAGCCGCACCTCGTGAAATTGATTATGACGAGGAAAATGATGAGTTGGAGTCTGATGCAGATGATTTTATAGTAGATGGGGATGGCAGACCCATTGCTGAAAGAAAGAAGAAACGTAAACCTATTTTCACTGATGCGTAAGTCCTCTTTTTTTATATACATAATGGCCATAAAGTAGTTCAATTGTAATAAGTTAAATATGCCAAATAGAAATATTTTTAACATATTAGATTATTATATATAGAAATGAGAAAGTAATACTTTTTTGTGTTTGTGTTTTATTAGATTTTATAAGTACGCAGCAGAAATTATAGTGACACTTTACATTTAGGCTTTGGTTCTGTGAATGTCATGTTCCTCAGATATATTATACTAAATGTTTTAATATTTAATTTACATTATAGGTCCTTACAAGAAGGTCAAGATATTTTTGGTGTGGACTTTGACTATGATGAATTTGAGAAGTATGGTGATGATTATGAAGACGAGGAGGAGGAAGACTTGGACGAGTATATAGATGATGATGAAGAAGAGGGTGAGTTAATATGCACTAATTTTGCGATTTCTTTTTAGGGCAAAAACTGTTTTCATTATTTAAAATAAAGATATGGTGATGAAAAAGATAAAACTTCTATTAATTTACTTATATTGTAATTATCTTGTAATTGTGAACTACAATTGTAGTTCACAAAAAACTTTTAGTAATTATTTGTTAGGGGTGCTCACATGTGCTGATGCTCACTCATTACTAAAAACAAAAATCAGATTTATAATTAGAATTTCCCTCTTAAGGAGAAAGAAGAAGGACCAAAAAGGGTAAAGCTAAAAGGCCAAGCAAGAAATCTATATTTGAGATATATGAACCCAGCGAGTTGAAGAGGAGTCACTTCACTGACTTAGACAATGAGGTTAGTTAATATATCAAACAAATGTATTTAAAATAAAATTGAACAAAAATACTTTTATCTATACTTAATATTATAAAGAGGTAAAGTTTGTGAGTTTGTGACGTTGTAAGGGGTAATCTCTGGATCTACTGAACCGATTTTGAGATGAGAGATAAATGATTATGTTCTAAAGAAAAGTTGTAGAGCTTAATAATGCCTACAAAAAAGTCAGCGACAGCATATATCTAACTTTTATATTTAAGTCACAAAAGGTAGTTTTTTATATTAAAAAAATAATTTAAATCGGTAGGTCACGTTTATTGGTCATATTATCAACAATTATGAATTCTTATCAAAATAAGTAAATTTATCGTCTAAAATGTTTAAAACAAAAGACTTTTCCCTTTTACTGCATATAATTTGGACAAATGGTTAAAGAGATAATACAACATATTCGTAGGTATGGACGAACCCAAGCGAGCTGTTTGTCTGTTTTTCTGTTTGTACGGGCTAATCTCCGAATCTATTGGACCGATTTAAATGAAATTTTGCATGGTGGTACCTTATATCCCCGGGCAACATCTTAGATACTTTTCATCACGGAAAATTAAAGAGTTCCCGTGGGATAGTTAAAAAACTATAGCAACTTATACAGCTTAGTACACAAAAACTACTAATTGGATTTTAACGAAACTTTACAATAATATAGCTCATACATAACAAAAACAAATCAGCTACTTTTCATCCCGGAAAATTAAAGAGTTTCCGTGGGATAGTCAAAAAATTATAGTAACTTATACAGCTTAGTACAAAAAACTACTGATTGGATTTTGATGAAACTTTACAATAGGTACTATATATAGTTCATACATCAGAATAACAAATAGATTACTTTTATCCCGGAAAAATGTACTGTTCCCGTGGGATAGATGTTTTTGTTTATTTGTAACGTATTATGTTTACAACATAGACCCCAAAACAATAGTTATTAAAAAAATTGTCTCTTTGTCTGTTTGCCTGTATGTCTGTTTGTCTGTTTTTGCGTGAGCGTTTCACGCGAAAAGTAATGTACCGATTATAACGAAATTTGGTGAAGTGATAACTTATTACTCAAGTCAACATTAAGGGTACCTTTTGTATGTATGTATGTATTTATATATTTATGTATTCAGCCCTTTTTAACGTCCCACTGCTGGGCACGGGCTCCCTTCAATACGAGGGGGATCAGGCCATAATCCACCACGCTGGCCAAGTGCGGGTTGGCGGACTTCACATGTCTTTTGAAAAGTTGCTAGGTTCTCTCAGACATGCAGGTTTCCTCACAATGTTTTACTTCATCGTTAAGACCAGTGGTAATTGTGTTAGAAAGGATTCGCACATGAAAATATCAGAGGTGCGAGACCTGGGATTTGAACTTGCTTCACTCGGTTTCCCAAGCGAGCGCGTTACCACTGGGATACCATTGCCTAGATACCTTTTACTTCAAGAAAATCTTTCTTTCCCACGGGAAAATACAATAACTGGTTTTATCGAGTCCTCCCTACAATCCTTCCGCTGGCTAAGCCTTAAGACATACATACATTGAAATAATATACTAAAAAATTGTTGGTCTTGAAAAGTCCTACAGAAAAGTTCCGAATTGTATATGTCTATCTCCTAAGTTACACTCGCAATATTTATTCTTATTTATACGTAATACGTATAATAAAAGTAACTTAGTCAAATCGATGTGCGCGTTTCACGCAAAAAGTACTCATCCGATTTTAACTAAATTTTGTATAGTGATAAAACTTAGTACTCGGGTCAACATTTAGGATACCTTTTACGACAGGCAAATTATTCATTCCCACGGTAAAATACAATAACTGGTTCTATCGAATCGTACTTAGAAATTTATATGGTTAAGGTTGGCTCAACCTTAAGAGATAGATCAAAACATTGTGCAAGAAAATTGTAAGTCTTAAAAAGGTCTATAGAAAAGTTCTACATAATATATGTCTATCTCCTAAGGTACACTCTCTGTAACTAATTTCATTATTATATATTACTGTTTTATTATACGTTATTTATTCTATCTATACATATAATAAAACTGTAGAGGTTAGAAAAAAAATGCTAAAAACCGAGTCAGTTCTCTTCTTACGCCCCGAAAGAAGAGAAATAGAACAAATCCATTTTTTTTTCAATGTTTTTGTTTCTCTGTCTGTTTCTCTGTTTGTACGGGCTAGTCTCCGAAACTATTGAAACGATTTTAATGAAATTTTGCATGATAGTACCTTATATCCCCGGTCAACATTTAAGATACTTTTCATTCCAGAAAATTAAAGAGTTTCCGTGGGATAGTTAAAAAAACTATAGTAAGTTATACAGCTTAGTACACAACAACTTATCCTCCTAATTTAGTAAAATTTGGCATGCTGATACCTTATAATATTGCCGATCAAACAACAGGTTACTTTTCATCCGGAAAATTCATCATTCTGGAAAAATGAACGGTTCCCGTGGGATAGATCTGTTTGTGCTTTTCTAGAGGTGAACCCGAGCGAAGCGAGGGTGAGCCGCTAGTTATTTAATAAATTGACAATATATGAAGACTTTTCAACAGTTCAAATATTTTATTTCAGTCAGTAACAATATTCAACATGTACTTAGCACCCTGTTAATTTAGCACAAATTAATTTTCTAGATTCGTAAAACTGATGTCCCGGAGCGAATGCAAATCAGAGAAGTGCCCATCACGCCAGTGGAAGAAGGAAGTACGGAGTTAGAGGATGAGGCTGAATGGATCTACAAACAGGCTTTCTTAAAGCCACCCGTGTCTAAAGCTGACGCTCAAGAGGCGAGAGAACGCTCCAGACGGTTGGTTTTGGATATTGATAAACAATATAATTCTATTTTCTATAAAGAAACTTCTAAAAGCAAGTTTTTGTAATAAGCATTAATGTTTATTTAACTCAAAAAAGCGGATGTGGAAAGTCTTTGGTAATGATGATAAATCTTTAAGAGGATTTTTGTAACATTTCCTGATTCATGATGTTCTAAAAAAATATTTTAAAACTAAGATTCATCTGATTGAAAAGATATAAGATAATATAATATAAAGGGTTTAAGGTAGTAAAAGTAGCATTTATTAATTTACGTAAATTCATTTTCTTAAAATAAATATGTTGGGATATTAACACACAGCACAATCTAGTCCCATGGTAAGCGACGAGACTTGTGTTATGGATACCAGATACTTGATACACTACACACACACATATATAGCTTTAAATACATACATATTATAAATATATGTATATTTTTTCTTATCAAAATTATATATTTGTTTCTAATAGTGGATCAAGTACAGTAGTGAAGATTCGTCAAGCATTGGACTTCATGCGGAATCAGACTTTAGAAGTGCCGTTCATAGCATTCTACCGTAAAGAGTACGTACAGCCCGAGCTCAGCATCAATGATCTGTGGAAAGTGTATAAATATGACGCAAAGGTAATTTTTTTTATTGTGATTAAGAATGATTTTTGCATCCTAAAACTATATTTCCGCATTTTTTCATGAATTTATTTTGATTTTTGGTTCTCGACCTTTGAAACGTCTAAAACCATAGATAAATCCGTTTTATTTTAAATAAAATCAAGAGATTTTAAAACATGATTTTTGAAATAAACAATGTAAGCCTAGTGAGTACCTAAAAATATAGTAACCATTAAAAACAAATATTATTGATAAAGAAAATCTCTTTTCTTACAGTGGTGTCAATTAAAGCAGCGAAAAGAGAATTTATTACGTCTAGTAGAGAATATGAGGGAGTTTCAGTTAGATAAAGTAATGGCGGACCCCGACGCACCGCTCCCAGAAAACATGAGACTTATTAGGGATGAAGACATAGAAAGGTAAAATCTGGCCCTTAATGTACAGTACATAATAGTGTAATACGTAAATATTTCTTTTGGTCTTTAGAGATCTTATAAATTGAATATTTGGGTTAAAAAAAACAAAGGAATAAAAAGGTGGGAGATCTTTTGTTTCTGTGAAAGTTAATAATATGTATAAAAAATAAAAATATCTATGAAAGTTAATAAAAAAAATATGTAAATAGTATTGAATTCAAAAAATAAATCGCCATCCTTAAAACCATATTTAAAGGACCCCGCGTCGATTGGTCAAATTCCATACCGATGCGCTCAGTAGTTTTCCGTGATGCATGTTAGATGAAACTTCTTTAGCCGCATTGAGTCTTTTTGAGTCATTGAGACGACGCAGTCTGGCGCAGACGTGCAACGTCATATTAATAAATAAATTTTATTAAAATGTAAATAATTATCGCTCGAAGTACCAATGGATGTTAAAAACCAGACTAAAAGTAATTTCAATTAACAAATTATGATTTTTTAATTATTCATACTATAGTTAATTTAAAAATAAAAAAAAAAACACTATTAATGAAGTTCTGTCGGCAGTCCCCATGACTGCCTATTTTAATTTTTTGACTTTAGATACTCTATCGTGTCAAGAGCAAAGTAATGACGTGTAACTTACTGTTTTCATTCACTAAAGTTTTTACAAAAAAATCTAAATATAAAGTCCTAAAGTGCATTGTTCAAATATGAAGAGATTTATTCATAAATTATTTTTTGTTGCAGAATGAAAAGTGTGCAAACACCAGAAGAGCTCCGCGACGTCCACACACACTTTCTTCTTTACTATTCCAATGATTTGCCGGAGATGCAGAAGTTACAGCGTGCCAAAGAAAAGAAAAGGGAGTTAGAGGATAAGAAGTGAGAAAGTTTTATTGTATATAGTTCTAATAATGTATGTATTGAATCAAAAAGTTTTTAAGTCAGGGCAATATACTCGTACATATAATGATTTTATGTTAATCACGTTAAGTTTGTTGTTGCGTTCTATTTTAAATTTATTTACGTATTTTAATACTTACTTACCCTCGTTTCGCTTTGTTACTTCCCTAGGTATGCGGATTTTGTTCACAATTTCATGGGTTTTAATTTTTTGGCGCGGAACCCTAATTGTTTATCTAAAATAAAAGTAGCGTAAGTTACTCCTTATAAAATTTGAAACCGATTCCAGCCGTATCGGAGATTAGCCGGAACAACAGACAAAAAAAATAAAAATTGTTTTTTTCTTATAAGTATCGTATATACTTTCATATGCAACTAGTAAAAAGCTGCTATTTTGACATTACAAACAATTCAACTTTTATTTATCTGTATAGGTCTATCTATTCTATACTAACTCTTAAAACGTATCTAGGACGAAGCTGAGCGAAGCGAGGTTAGTCGCTAGTATTTTCATAAATAAAGTCCTAAAGCCTTACAAGGCTTCGTCCAGTCCAGTCTGTCAGAGAATTAAAAAGTTTCTATCTCCACTAATGCCATAAACAACCAAACATGGCAACGAGGTTGCACAACATATAACATTAATAATGTTTTATTTGATCAGAAAATCAGCACGCGAGGAAGCGGAGAAAAACGGGGAAGACCCGGACGAGGCGGCGGCGGCGGTGGACGCGGCGCAGCCCGACGACGACGAGCCCACGGAGGTGAAGTACGCCGTGCGTTCCGGCCCCTATGAGTTGTGCAGGAAGGCTGGCATTGGTAAATTACATATTATATTGCTTATATACTTGACAATCTAAATCACACTAATATTTTCATACATCATAATTGATTTCATAATACGAAAGTTTGTGTGTGCGTGCAAGTCTGTTACTTTTTTTTTAAATACTTAAAAACAAAACTCTGTGTACTCAGAGTCTATTGACATGTGCAGAAGGTTAACATTGGTTAGTTGACCGGTTATTTTAATAAACATTTTATATTTTATGTCAACATAATTAGAAACCCGCAATTTTTAAAACTAATTTTATTATCATGTTATAGCTAGAATAATGAAAAGCCCGTTTTTTTAAATAATATTATAAATACGTTTTGGCCCTGAATTTGTTTTTAGATTAACCTGCTATTGTCTTATAATTTTAATTTAAAACAAATAAATCACTAAAAATAAAACATACGCTCATAAAAGGGCACGGACAAAAGTCTGGGGGGCTCACAAACTTACTTAACAAAAAACGGTTGTCATATTAATATTTTCGGGGGAAATGATAAAAAGACAGCGGTTTGCCTACTAAAAGTTAACAACTGCCTCGGTGGTGTAGTGGCTAGCATGTACGGCTGCACACCCGGAGGTCCTGGGATCGAGTTCCGGGTCGAGCCAAGTTTAGTTATTGAGTCTTTCTGTATACTGAGCCTCAGTAACAGCCCGGAGTTGAGAAGTTGGCGGTGTTCCACCCCCTTGCCTCGGAGAGCACGTAAAGCCGTCGGTCGGTCCTGCGCCTTAACTCTCACTGGTCGTGTCGAGTGGTCGTCCCACCGGAATATGAGAGTGACAGGAACAGAGAGTGCACTTGTGTCTGCGCGTACGCTTGTGCAATATCATATCTCCTTCGCAGTTAGCTAGTCTCAATGAGAGTGGCCGCCGTGGCCGGGATCGGTCAGGAGAACATCATCATCATAAGTTAACCAACGAAAGGAACTCGATTGTGCATACTGTATTTATTATGCTTTTCAACAGAGCCATTAGTAAAGAAGTTCGGTCTGAGCCCGGAGCAGTTCGCAGAGAACGTACGCGACAACTACCAGCGACATGAAGTGGAGCAGCCTCCCGTGCCGCCGCTCGAAGCCGCCGCGCCTTACGTGAGTGGCCCCTTTATTATGTTCATACTCACTAGTTACTTACACTTGGGTGCGTTCCTGGGTGCCAATAATACGTTGCCTTAGCGCTTATTTGTTCGAATTACTCATTCTTATTGGTATCACTACAGTGAGGAGTTTATTTCTTCTTTTAAAAAAAAAACTTTATTTCTAAGGTTTATATAAATATGTAGATAAAATATGTATTTTATATACAGATAAATGAAATTGAAGTGTCTGTTTGTAATGTCAAAATAACAGCGTTTTACTAAATGCATATGAAATTCTATATGCTACTCAAATCAAATCAAAATATTTTATTCAGCATTAAATTATTACAATTTTTTACTGACCGTCATGAGTCTACTACCACACTACCTACCTACCTACCCACCTACCTACCTACCCACCTACCTACCTACCCACCTACCTACCTACCCACCTACCTACCTACCTACCCACCTACCTACCTACCCACCTACCTACCTACCCACCTACCTACCTAGCCACCCACCCACCTACCTACCTACCTACTTACCTACCTACCTACCTACCTACCTACCTACCTACCTACCTACCTACCTACACTACTACTTATAAGAAAAACACTTTTTAAATCTTTGTCTGCCTGTGTGTCTGCTTGTTTCGGATATTCTCTGAAACGGCTGGACTGATTTTGACGGGACTTTTACTAAAAGATAGCTGATGTCATAGGGAGTAACACTACTTGCTACTTTTATTTCAGAAAAACAATTAGGGTTCCGCTCAAAAAAATTAAAACATACCTACGAACGAACCCGAGCGAAGCGAGGGTGAGTCCCTAGTATGCCAATATAATTACCATTGAAAAGTCAAGAATTGTATTAAAAATTAAATACTCTCGGTAAATTGGTCGTTTGGACAAATAAATACTGAGACCATAAATAGTCTATATGTGTAATAATGTATTTTGTTTGATCTTGTTGGTATATATATTAGCACAAGGATCGATTGAGGGAGTAGAGTATTGTGTTCCTTAGGTTATTTTCATTAATTCTTACGTACGTTCACAATAATTAATGAAGTGGGTGAAGAGTGATATGTAAAGTCGTGAGCACGTTTCCAGGCGCCAGCGGGGTGCTCCGCGTCGGAGGTGGTGCGGCGCGCCGTGTACATGTGTGGCGTGCAGCTGGCGCGCGAGCCGCTGCTGCGCGCCACGCTGCGCGACGCGCTGCGCGAGCGCGCCACGCTCGGCGTGCGCCCCACGCCGCGCGGCCTCAAGGAGATCGACGAGGGGCATCCTTGCTTCAGGTCTCTCTCTCTCTCCCTCTTTCGCTCTATTTCTGTATGTCTCTCTTTCTCACATATTGCCGCGCCGATCACGGTTAAATTCTTTAACGTTCACACACACGCTTTTTTACACATTTATAAAAACTTTACACACTTACACAAGTGTGTGTGTGGAGCGTGTGTGGTGTTTGTGTGTAAGTACTTTTACTCATATTATAGTCACATACAACTATACTTTCACGCATTTCACATTGACATTGCAATTTATACAACAAACCGAAAAAAATCTATTAAAGTAAAATAAATCATTATGATTAAAATAAAAGTTGGTGCTTAAGTTATATTTTATTTGAAAACCAACGTTATTTAATCAGATAAAATGACTGACTTTCAACAATGAAATAAAATATTTTAAATAAAAGTATCTTTTCGGACTTTTTCGCTGATTTATTTAAAAGGTCAAATATTCACGTATATCGAAGAAAGTATTATGAAATAAAATAAATTTATAATTTTGTTCATACTTTTAACAATAAATTTTAAATGCACAGTATGAAGTACCTCAAGAAGAAGCCAGTCCGCGACCTCACAGGAGACCAATTCCTCAAACTAACAATCGCAGCAGAGGATAAGTTGCTAGAAATCAACATCAGCGAGCAGATTGAAGGCAACACTGGACCTAGTTATTTAGAAGAATTAAAACAATTATATCAGAAGGTAGATTTTATTAAACCATTTTACATCTTATATTTGCAACTGGATTCATGATCATATACATTTACATAATTCGTTGGCTTACTATTACCTGGTTCTATGTTAATTTTAATGATGTTTAGTAATTTTTACATAGAACTTCGTTATTTTGTTATCGTAAAAAAAACAACATAGAACTATGTATAATTGAATATTTTGTAGTTATAGTGCCGCTATCTAGTGGTTTGTTTTTGCAAAACTGTAGCTAATGACACATAGAACCTTGTAGCATTAATAACTAAATAAGTACTAAAATTGTAACCTTGTAACAGTGAGCCAACGATGTATATTTAAAATTACTCCTTTACTTACAAAAGGAAAATGCTAGCTGTGATAACATTACTTCCAATATTATAAATGATATGACATGAAAAAGTAAATATTTTTAACATTTCTTTTTTTAATTCATAAACTTTTTTTTGGTTTTAATTATGGCATAATGTCTCAAATTTCTGATCTTAATTTGTTGTTGTGAATTCCCATATCTTTTTCAGCTTACATTATGTTATATATTTACCATAAATTTATTACTTTATATTAAAATGATTTATGTACCGTAGGATGAATTTGCGACGACAGTACAAGCATGGAATGAGCTCCGCGCTGAGGCAGTGACTCTGGCTCTCACTAAAATAGTCATGCCCGAACTTAGAAGGGAATTACACGCAGTACTGCTTCAGGAGTCGAAGGAATATGTACTGAAGTAAGTTGATTGTATTTATTAATTGGCCGACTTCAAAAAGCAATGTCAATTTGGATTTGTTTTTTTTGCATATATAATACAATTCCCCAAACTGTCTTAGTTTACCTTTTTAAAAATTTAAAGTTTTCTTTTTTTAAATATTTTAACGAGTAAAGCGTTTTATTCTGTTCAAGAATTTCTTGTTAATGGAAACGTGTGGAATTGATTGACATTAACTCATATGTGGGCTATCTATAATGATATGCTAATAAACAAATAAAATGTAACTCGACGACGAATTATATTGTTATATTTTAATGGTAAATAAATTTTGAGAAAAAAAAAATCCTTTATAATGTACCAATGGTAGAATCTTAATAGAAAAGAAAATATTTTTAGACACTTGATAATATGTTAGATTTTTTTTAATTTGGTAAAGAAAACGTTAACGCTAGTGTTTATAAAACTTATTAGCTTTTATTAGTATCTGAACGAAGTGGTATTTAAAATTAATTTGAATAATGTTCTAATATTCCAAGTTAATCTAGACAAATTGTGTTTATAGGTGCTGTCGTCGTAAGTTGTATGACTGGTTGAAAGTAGCTCCATACGAGTCTAGGGTGTCTGATGATGATGACGAGGAGTGGGACGCGACCAATGGTAATTGAGTTTGTTGTTTGAAGTGACTGGTGACTTTAAATAAACTTAAACATTTTTATATTTAAAAAAAAAAGAAAAAAAAAATTGTAATGTAATTGGTGCAATTTTCATTTTGTTAATTGTGGGTAGGCTGTCTGTAACAACTATACCTCCAAGACATGTAACACCTCAGTCTCTCCCGTGACCATGGATGCTGTAAAGCATTCGAAACGTCGGGAAACAAAAATACAAATAAATCCGCGACAAAATCCGAAAAGATAGTTTTATTTAAAATGTCAACTATTCGCGTAAATCTAACAAAGTATTATGATACGTTCTAGTAGGCATAGTAGTCCGTGTCGCTTGTTTCCGTGCCTGATACGTTCATAGCACGGCCATGGTATGAGACGGTGTAGTGGGCAGACTCCTTAATGAGTGGAATATCATCATCATCCTCCTCAACTGCATTAACTCAGTTTGCTGATTGAGTTTTTTGAGCTGATTGAGAGAGTTCAGTTAGCTGATCGACAATTTGAAGAGTTACAAATTAAATATTTTCAATTATATTTATCAAAGATAATTATCAACCCATATTTATCATAATAATTATCGTGATAATTATCAATGATAATTATCGTTTCGAACCCTGAATTGTTAGGATATTAACATACAGCGCAATTTGTTCCATGGTAAGCTACGAGCCTCGTGTTATGGATACCAGATAGTTGATACACTACACATATATAACTTTAAATACATACATATTACAAATATATGTACTTTTACTTTTATTGCTATATAGCTTAAGTTACTCCTTATAATGTTAGCTTTACACAGCGCTGTATTTACACTAGGGGCACTCGGGGCTAGTGTCCAGGGCGGCAAATTTTTAGGGGTGACGAAATTTGGTGAAAAAAAATTCGCGCTATCGAAAATGCTTATTTTATTTTACAAAAAATGAAAAAAAAAGAAGAAGAAAAATTTATATCATTTATGAATTATTTTTTTTGGATTTTTCAAAAAAATAATAATTAAAAAACATTAAACTTTCAACATTTTATTCAAAATTTCGATAATAGGGCGGCATTTTTTACTATGCCCAGGGGCGGCGCTAAGGTTAAATCTTTACAGATACTTCAATTTTATTAATTTGTATAGATAAGTATGTACATCGTACACAGTATGTATATACGTGCAGGTCTCCGCGTGATGTCGCTGGCGTACGTGCCGGACCGCGCGCACTGCGCGTTCGCGTGCGTGGTGGCGGGCGCCGAGCTGGCCGACCACCTGCGCCTGCCGCACCTGCTGGCGCGCCGCAACGCCTGGGACGCCGCCGAGCGCCGCAGCAAGGAGGCCGACATGACCGCGCTCAGACGGTACGCCCACTGTATTTTCTTCTTAAATTTGTTTTTTGAAGGTGCCATACCTCAAAAGTTAAGAAAAGGAACCCGTATAAGATCACTCTCTTGTCCATCTGTCACCACCGATTTTCTCAATAACGGGTGGACCTAGCAAGTTGAAATTTATACCAGATACTGACAGGAGTATAAAAATAAAGGTCCTGAGTCAAAACGATAAAAAGATATAGGCGAATTTAGATTTTCGCGAAAACTTGTAAGTACCAAAATTTACCTTGTAAGGTAAATGTGTGCTGTGACACAAATAAAGGAAAAATTCCAAAAAAATTAAAAAAAGTTGAAAATTAAACAGATTTCCTATTGTATGGAACCCTCGGTGGGCTAGTCGGACTCGCACTTGTCCGGATTTTTATTTAGGATTTCTTTAGAAATCTATTTACGAATACTAACTGCATAAATTCAGTTTATGGTTACGTGGTGGTACAGGCTTACTGGCTGAGAAGGTAGTACTACCCACTCAACCCAATGAAACCATCCCCGTCATCCAAGAAGGTTCCGTTTTAATAATTGAATTATATTATAATGGGCTTATATTTAATATATAGAATAGAATATATCTTTATTGACACAATTGTTTGTTGTTCATAACATAAGCCTGTTAAAGCCTCTGACTCCCAAACTAGATTAAACCTGTGTGTCAGGAGTCAGCGTCCCCTTGTATCTTTAATCATAAGTGGAGTTTAATAATATTACAAAGCATGTTTAACAGTAACAATTTTAGCATTTGTTTGTGAAAGAAGAAAATAAAAATTGACTTGAACAAAAATGTACTAAGCGAAAAGAAGTTACGTAATTGTATAAAGTGTAATATATGTGTGTGTGTTCCGTTTGGTTTTATACCTATTTCATAGTAGTACATGTAGTACTGGCTCCTCAACACGGTGGGTCCCAGTACCTGAAGTACCTGTATATGTATGCAGGTGGTATGCATTTCTCAATGTTGAAAAAAAGGGTGCTAAATTTCATCTATACCGCTAATAAAATACACACTCATACATACACACATGTTTATGTACATACAAACTTTCGTATTTATGTTACTAGTGTTAAAATAACTCATTGCAGATTCATCCTACGCAAGAAACCTCACGTGATCGTAATAGGCGGCGAGTCCCGCGAAGCTCTCAACATAAAGGCGGACGTCGCCGAGTGCGTGCAGCAACTCGTCGAGGACGAACAGTTCCCGCGCATTCCTGTCGAAATTGCTGACAACACTATTAGTAAAATATACAGCAATAGTATTAAAGGGCGGGTAAGTTCGTAAATAGCACTATTTGTATTTAAAAAAAAAACTTGTTTTGCAGAATAATTAAGAAAAGGTCAGAAGTGAAATGTGGATTAAATAACTGATTTAGTAGTTTATTTTATATTATATACAATATTTTTATTCTTCACTCGAGTCTCAAGACTTTAAAATATATAATTTTCATATAATATATCACTTCTTAAATTGCGATGATTGTAAGTAAACCAAGCAAGAAGTCTAACATAATTCAGTTATAACATTTCTTTACAGAACGACTTCAGAGAATATCCAGACACATTACGCCAGGCGATATGCCAGGCGCGCTTACTCCAGGACCCGCTAATGGAAATATCTCAGCTATGTGGACCCGACGAGGAAATACTATGTCTCAGATACCATCCCCTACAAGATCATATAACCAAAGAAGATTTGCTTGAAGGCATTGAGTTGGAATTTGTGAACAGAGTCAACGAAGTAGGCGTGGACGTAAACGAAGCGGTCCTAACTGGTCGGGGGACTGAGCTGTTACAGTTTGTATGCGGTTTGGGTCCGAGGAAAGCTCAAGCTCTAATAAAACTTTTTAAACAAACGAACCAAAAACTAGAAAATAGAACCCAATTGGTCACGTTATGTCACATGGGGCCGAAAGTGTTCATCAATTGTTCTGGCTTCATCAAAATCGATACAAGCAGTTTGGGAGATGGTACTGAAGCATATATAGAAGTGTTGGACGGATCTCGTGTTCATCCCGAAACTTATGAATGGGCGAGGAAAATGGCGGTAGACGCTTTGGAATATGAAGATGAGGATGCCAACCCTGCTGGAGCCTTGGAAGAAATTCTAGAAGCACCAGAAAGATTAAAAGATTTAGATTTAGACGCGTTCGCAGAGGAATTGGAAAGACAGGGCTTTGGTAATAAGAGCATAACGCTGTATGACATTCGAGCGGAATTGAACTCTAGGTATAAAGACCTTAGGGTTCCTTATCGATCGCCAACCGCCGAGGAGCTGTTCGACATGCTAACAAAAGAGTCACCAGACACTTTCTTCGTAGGAAAGATGGTTTTGGCAACTGTAATAGGTATTACGCATAGGAAACCTCAGAGGGAAATGTTAGATCAGGCTAACCCTGTGAGGAATGATGAGACTGGCTTATGGGAATGCCCATTCTGTCATAAAAATGACTTCCCCGAGTTATCCGAGGTATTTCATTTTTTTTAACTATTTTTTAAGTTATGGCAATGGAATTTTAAATTTTTTGTTTATAATAATTATAATTTATTACAGTTTTGTGTTTTTCTATTACACTTTTTACATATTGGCAATTATTATTTTCAAAATTAATATGAATATATAATACTAGTGATTTACACTCGCTTTGTTCAGGTTGCCTTGGATGACTTTTGTTTTTTTTTGTGTTTTAAATGGTAACTTTCGTTAAATTTTAATATCCATCTATATAGTAAATGTCATCTGAATCCTTCCAGTCGTTTGAGCATAAAGGCATAGAAAACACACATATAAACTTTCGCATTTATAAATATACAATACTAAATAAATAATACTTTAATTGAATTATAGGTATGGAACCATTTCGACGCAGGTGCATGCCCCGGGCAAGCGACAGGAGTGCGCATACGTCTGGACAACGGACTTTCCGGATACATTCACATAAAGAACCTCTCGGACAGACACGTCACAGACCCCACGGAGAGAGTGCGCATCGGACAGACAATACACTGTAGGATATTGAAGGTAGACGTGGAAAGGTTCTCCGTGGATTGCTCCTCGAAGTCTTCTGATCTGTCAGATAAGAATAATGAGTGGAGGTGAGAATGTTTCAGTAAATTTGAAGCTATTTACAAAGTTTTATTAATTTATAAAAATTTAGGTGTTTTGTTTTAGAAGTTTATATATTTCTTTCTGTTTGTACAATTTTACTTGTACTGATTAATATTTAACTTTATATTTTGCTGGAAATACGTATTTTATATGTACATATTAGTATAACAACTTCAACGTAATTAGCATGGGGTCTCATCACGAAGTAAAATTAGAAAAATTAACAAAAGTTTAAAAATAGATCCCAAAAACGTATCTTCAAAAATATTCTTAGAGAAGGGAAGTGAAATAATGCGGCCAGTTTATCAAATTTGCTTAATTTTACTGATTATTGAAATATCAGCAATCAGATGATGGATTTGTAGTGTACATTCATAGATGGCGCTTTCACTTTTTATAAGTGGTTTATCAAGCTTAAAAAGTGCTCAAATCTCGGAAATTTGTTTAATGGAATGAAGGATGAACTTTACGATATTTACCATACGTTAGTTTGCACATATTTATAAAATAAAACAGATCAACTATTTGTGGGACAATGACATCTATTATAAGCAAACAGAAATAGCCCGAAGAATAGTCTGAATTAGCACTGTCCAATTTCTTTGTATGGAATGAGGAATCTGTACTAGTATAGTATTATAATATGTTATTTGTGTATGATAAATGTGTTTTGATATATTTCGATTAGGCAATTTGTAGCTGACATATCTATATTATATAAATTATTATATTATACTAAAAAATATTTTATCTATTTTAGACCATCTAAAGACCCCTACTACGATCAAGAGGCAGAAGATAAGGATGTGCGTAAAGACACTGAAGCGAAGCAGACTAAAGAACGAATGCAGTATGTGAAGCGAGTTATAGTGCACCCTGCCTTCCATAATATTAGTTTTGCTGAAGCCGAGAAGCTCATGGAGAACATGGCTCAAGGAGAAGTTATTGTCAGGCCTAGTAGTAAGGTTAGTAATTAGCAGGAATGCCTAGTTTAAATGTTTATTTTTGTTATGGTTATTTGAAAAACGAAATGAAATACTATTTTAAAATTTTTATAGTTTTATTAGTAGATTTATTTTTAATTTTAATAGAACATTAATTAAAAATCCTTAATATTACAGGGTTCTGATCACCTCACTGTGACATGGAAGGTGGCAGAAGGTATATGCCAACACATTGATGTTAGAGAGGAGGGTAAAGAAAACGCTTTCTCCCTAGGTTTGTATTATTTTATTTTTCCTTGTTTGGTTTATTGATCCCACTATACATATAGAACAGATAAAATTTATTTATAAATATTTTTACACTATGTATTGTAGAGCTGCAAAGCTGTTACTCTATTTCAAATGTCTTACAACATAGTTACTAAATCGGTAAATGTTCTTCAAACAGGTCGAAGTCTATGGATTCAAGGCTCAGAATTTGAAGACTTGGATGAAATTATTGCGCGATATGTGACACCCATGGCGGGCCACGCGCGAGACCTCATCGCGTATAAGTATTACAAAAATCTCGGCGGCATGCGAGATAAAGCCGAAGAAATACTTAAAGAAGAGAAAGCCAAAAATCCCAACAAAATTCACTACGTAATATCGGCAGCGAAAAATCACCCCGGAAGGTTCCTATTGTCATATCTACCCAGATCAAGATGCACTCACGAGTACATATCTGTGACGCCTGACGGGTACAAATTCAGACAGAGGATGTTCGATTCATTGGGAGGTTTGCTCAAATGGTTCAAAGAGCACTTCAGGGATCCCCCGCCTTCAGGCACCCCCGTGCAGCGCACTCCCGCCCTACGCACCCCGCACGGTGGCATGACGTCATCCATGTACCACACACCCGCCGCGCACACGCCGGCCTTCCACACCCCCGCGCATACTCCCGGCCCCGCCTACATCAACACCCCCTACACGCCCTCCGCGCAGACCCCCTACATGACTCCGTTCGCGACGACGCCCCGCCAACAGGATTTCCTCACGCCGGCCGTGCCGAGGCACAAGCCGGTCCAGATACCGGTCTACACGGAGCCCTCCGACTGGCAGAAGGCGGCCGAGGACTGGGTGCGGCACCGCTCCGTGCGCGATACTCCCGCCACGCCGCGCAGCAGCGAGGGCATGTCCACGCCGCGAGAGTCCAGCCGGACGCCGCGCATGGACGCGCGCTCCACGCCACGACACGACATGCGCGGCACGCCCCGCCACGACTCGCGCCACGACCGCCACGACGCGCGTGGCACGCCGCGCCACGACGCGCACGGCACGCCGCGGCACGACGCGCGCTCCACGCCGCACTCGGGGCGCTCGTCGCGCGCGCACTCGGCGCGCTCCACGCCGCACACCAACACGTCGCCGCGCTCCATGTCGCTGGGCGACGCCACGCCGCTCTACGACGAGAATTAGATCAAGACTGACGAGACATCATCGGATACGTTTTTATTTTTGTACGATGGAGTGCGCCTTCGCCTCGTGTAAGGGCCGGTTCACATGAACTTTTGATTTTTTTATATCTAGTATCAATCGTTCGTTGTATAGTGAAGTGTGCTTATGCGATATTTGATGTGGGTATGCTCGATAATGTATGTATCGTGTGGACAGTGCCTAAGCTTGCTGTGTAAAAAATTGACGGGAATAATTGTTTTATATTAGACTTCTATTCTATACTCTATTTCTATACTCTTTCATGTGTATGTCTTATGTGGAGTTCCGATTTTCTGTAAAATGATAACGACTCCCCGATGTAGCTAAATGAATTGACACAGAGGCCTCAATAGATAGCGAAGGTATAATAGAGGATTCAATTAAATCAATGTAGTGCTGACGGAGCACGTTCATTCAGTTTTGTCCATTATATACAATTATAAAACTATTTATTATTTTCATTTGTAAAATTTAGGCAATAACTATTGTATCTCTATATTTTTTTAATATACCAATTAGTTGGTAGCATAATTATCTTTGAGAATAAAAATAAAGGAAGTAACTCAGAATGATATTACAGCAAATATTGAAATCAATAGAAATGCCTTACAGATGGTTAGTGACGTAACAGAAGCGATGTAATCTGCCGTTAACTTGCGGGAAACTAATAAACATTAAGACAAACTTGTTCTGGATTTTTATTATATTACTAGAAGAACCCGCGGCTTCGCTCGCGCTAAATTTTAAAAAAAGAACTAAAAAAGTAGATTTCAAACTTTCATCTCCTACTTAAACCCCATAAGGGATGATTTTCTAAAAATGCAAAAACACGTATTTATTTAATTGTAATGAAGAACATTAATACTAAGTTTCAAGTAATTCTGATCACAAATATTTTTTGGGTTGTATTATAACGTGTTTTCTCGTGGGAATGAGATAATCTCCCGCGATTAAAAATCTGTATCACTCTCCAGCCCTCCAACTATCTCCACACAAAAAATCACGCCAATCCGTCATTCCGTTTTGACGTGAAAGAAGGATAAACAAACACACATTCACATTTTTAAAATCCGTATGCATATACTAGTGGACCCGACACGTTTTCCTGTCCGTATATGGTCTTCACACAAATCTTAGAACCAGGCTGCAGCGGGTTCATCTCGGACTCGATGTTCACAAACCATCCAGGAAGGAACCTATTTAAATATATACAAAAAAACCGGTCAAAATCGGTTAAGCCGTTTAGGAGGAGTTCAATGACAGTACGGAAGAATTATATATACACATAAAGGTAAAGATAATAATAATCACATATTAAGTTGGCCTTTTAAACATCCCACTGCTGGCCTTCCTTCAATACGAGTGAGATTAGGCTATAGTTCATCACGCATTCTAAACGTGATTTGGCGGACTACACATGTCTATCAAGAATTAATTAGGTTCTTTCAAATATGCAGGTTTTCACACGATGTTTCCCTTCATCGCAACTCGCAAGACGAGTGGAAAACATATTAATTAAAATGATTTGTACATGAAAATATTCAAGATGCGTGATTCTGGGTTTGAACTGTCATCACTCGGCTAACCAGGCAAGCGACTTGGACTACTACTGCCTTAATTTCATAATAATTCAATTTGTCTTGTGATAATTGAGAAATAGTAAACAATTGTAAGAACAAGATAAAAAAGACAATAAAGTGATGAGAAGTGTTTTAGATAAGATTAATTCTAAGATCCGCTTTTTTACAACGGTGTTTGGTTATTATTATCAATATAAAAATATAAAGGATTTTGAACATGTAGATGTAGCAATGCTTTACGACTTTAGAAATATATAAATGGTCAACTCTTGGTTTGAACAAAAAGTCACATAAACATCTATCTGAATATTAAAGACTTAGAGATATCCTTCACGCTTATGTGAACTTTAAGTAATTTTTTTCACCCTTTAGTCACGTGTATTAATCTTAATTAGTTTTAATTTTCATAATTTGTCTTCAAAAATGTCTGGTGGTTCCATTCTCATGTGTTCACGTAAAATGATTGTGACATACGATAAGACGAAATTATAAGGATTCCGTTTTAGTCTTTTGGTTATAGAAATTAGAAACCCAAAAAGTACTACACGCGGGTATTTTGGCTCAGTTTGTAGTGCTTTACATGCTGTGTCAGCGGTCGCGGGTTCGAGTCCCGCTGGGGGCATACATTTGTGTGATGAGCACGAATGTTTGTACTCCAGTCATGGTTGTTCATATTTATAATATGTATGTATTTAAAATTATGTATGTGTAGTGCATCAACTATCTGGTATCCATAACACAAGTCTCGTAGCTTAATATGGAACTAGATGGTGCTGTGTGTTAATGTCCCAACAAATTTATATTTATTTATTTATTTATTTAAAGGCACGGGCACAAACTAGGAGTTCATTGTACACATTATTTTAGTAAAGTAAATGAAAATCGTAAAATATTGTTGACTAAAGTAATAGACAATAGTGAATTATTAATCAATGGCTCAAGTAAACGTTATAATTGCTTAATTTTCGAAGCGTTATTTTTGTCATGTACTCAATAGTGAAACGTGTGCTATGAGATTGATGGCGATTATTGACGAGGCTACAATCATCATTCATCATTAAGTTGTTAGCTCTAAACGAATAATAGCTCTTACGCCCGTCACTCTCAGATTGACAACGTGTATAAGAAGTTGTTCTCAACAAGCAATTTTAGATGCAATATCTCAAAAAAACAAGTAAAGTAAAAACTATAGTATTATTTGGTCTCATGAGTAGAGCTGTAAGTACAAACTGGTACCATAAGATAAAATTGAAGTAGGAATCCGTCTGTTACATACTTAGATTTTAAAATGATTGTCAAATAATGGACTAAGCTTGTTTGCATAATACTAAAGAACCACAAAAACTAATGAAATATTTTTTTTGTTTTATTTATTTTTTTGGCATTTAAATATTTTCCATACAGCTATTCTTATGTTGATGAAAAAGTTATTGTGCAGAAACTATATGATGAATGTTACTAAAAGGCACTATTTTGTATTAAATGGATTTTTAGATATATTTTAGCTTGGGATGAAGTAGGTATTTTAATAACTGATTGAGGCTTATTACCCGACTGCGGCGAAGCCCAAAGGAGAGTTATGTGTTTGACCTGTGTATGTTTATATGTCCGACCCTATGTTCCCTCGTAAGTACTAAACGGCTTAACCGATTTTGATGATTCATACGTTATTCGATTCGTCTTGATAACGCGAGTGTCATAGGGTATATAGATATAACTAAAAATAAAAATGCCGGGTTCTAGGCGCCAATTTGTCTTGAAAATATTGTTTTCATCCGAATAGAGTGGGCTATCAAAATATATACTTACAGGTTTTTAAGAGGCGATTACAAAAGTATAAACAACTTATATTATGTTTTAAAATAATTTAGGATGAGAAATTGTTAGTTGAATATTCAATTACCTTCAAGTAATATTATTTTTATAATTTAATCGTATTGTTTTATCTGCAAATGTTTCCGCGGGAAAAATTTCGAAATGCGAAAATTACTTACCTACTCGTAACGATTAGTATTTGCAATATTCTTGAAGTGAGTTTTTGGAATACATTTTACGTATAACCACAATATAAATTTATAAAATCAAGTACAATATCTCATACGTAAAGATTATATTCAGGTAAAGAATCGCGATTAATGCTGTGTATACGCGCCAACAGTAACGTACCTAATCCATGGCAATAAAATTCATGATAGCTGGCTGCATATTGAAGGAGTTCACGCACTACTGAGTTATATAATAATATTTTTATTTATTTATTCGTAGACTTAAATTATATATTTGTAGGATCACTAATAAAACTTCGAGATATTCCTTGCTTATATTGAGTACTTTTATAATCATCAGTGATTTACATAATTTATAACCATAATTTTCAGTATTACAAACAATCCGTGACTCTGACTAGTCACTGCAGGTGGTACCGACAATTTGACATCTGTGCAAAGGCGCGGGAAAACAAATGAATATCCGCGCCCTTTTTTTACTTTTTTTAAAACACATTCGTATCGGCCAAGGTCACATAACTAAATGCCTTATACATAAATCATAATAAATTAATGAAATATATTATTTTCCATTAAAACGTTCAATATATAAAAATGCAACCTTACAATATTGTACATATTTTTCGAAGACCTATAAATATTTTGTTGTAGTGAGATGTCAAATATGAGAGGAGATAAGGGTCTAATATGACATTCGGAGATAATATAGCAATGTATATTGCTGCTTGCTGAAATTTTGCATAATTTCTTTTTTAGCTATTTTTTTAAAAACTAAACTTTAATAATAATACATATAAAGGTGTACAACTTTGCTCCCGCCGTTTTTTTTAAATATGGCGCTAGCGACAATTAGACGTTCAGTACATACATTATGGACGAGTTAAAATACTCTTTAGTATCTTGTGAACTTAACCTGATAGCAACAGTAGTTGATTATGTGTTTACATCATATAGTTATTTTCGAATAAAAATGTCAACTTATGAGCCTAATTGTCGTCATTTGCGGGAAGTGTTAATTTATTTTTTTAATATTAAAAAATCTGCGGCTGAGGCTCACCGAATGCTCTCAGACGCTTATGGTGAAGTTCCTATAAGTAAAAGAACATGTTGTAAAGTGGTTTCAATGCTTCAAGAGCAGTGATTTTTGCGTAGCAAACCGGCATAGTGGTGGAAGATCAAAAGTTTTTGAAGATGAGGAATTAAAGCCATTTGCTCAATGAAGACTCGTGTCAAAGTCAAGAGGAGCTGGCAACATCATTGCAAGTGAGCCAAAAAACAGTTTCAAAACGCCTAAACAATCTGGAAATGATCCAGAAGCAAGGATATTGGGTGCCATACGAGTTGAAGCCTAGAGGTGTTGAACGACGTTACTGTATTTGTGAACTTTTGCTTG